ATTTATGAACCCTGGTATAAACCCCAAGTTTATAGCTGAATTTACTGTTGGTCATGGCTTACTTATGGGAAATCAGCTCCCAAAGGGTCCAAATTAGCCATGGGTTCATATATGGCCGTGGGTCAAAACCCTGTACCCCTGGTGAACATCAAAATAGGTGGCAAATGGATTTTCATCCACCCCAAAATGGCTCGCCATAGGTTCTGCCCCATGGGTTAATATATGAACCTCTACATTCAGCTTTGTTGGAAGATCGTTGACCCCCTTGCTATGTACCCAGCCTTCGCAGTTCCAGAGGCGCCGGCCCTTCTCCATGTTTGATTTGGCGAATTGAAGCTTGGTCGCCTCCTGGTTTCTCGCTTCGACAAATCCACTCGAAGAGGTGGGCCTAGATGCCAAGGGAAACCTACGCTTAGTGGCCATACGGTTCAACAAGGACGAAAACGCATCAAACCAAAACTTGTTATGCATCAAAGCAAAGCAACTTTCTAAACAAGAAGAAACAACTCAATAGCTATCAAACACAGCTTATTAAACACAATTTTGCAGAACCAAGCTAAAAAGACTCGACACTGTGGACAACAACAATGTGTGAATAGGACGAGCTTGTCGGGCATGGCTGGGGTTGCTTAAACCCACCCTAAGCCAACCCTACGCCAGACAATCCTACACACCATTCCGCAGTAAAAACCAACCCCCAACAAAGTCCAAACATGCCATGCCCGACAAGTTTGTTTTGAAGCCTAACAAGTTGCTAGTTTGATGCCGCAGTTCTCCGGCTGCTTCATGTGTTTTGCAGCAAAATGGTGCCCAATAAGATATTTGTTGATTCCTAACAAGTTTTTCTTGATGTGCATGTATGCAGAGGTCAGCTTTTTGTAACGCAGCCCCCTCCCCCCCTGGAGCAAGCACAAGCAACGGCAGGCGTCAGCCAGGTCAGAAAGACATAGTCAGTTCGCAGCTGAAAAGACGGCCCGAAAATGGCGTGGAGCCCCCCCCCCCCCCGCAGTCCTGCTGCAGAATCTTGAGCGCTGCTCTTTGGGCTGCGCGCCGCTTGTCCTGCAAAGAACTTGAGCAAAGCTCGCGGCCCGTGGCGACTGCGCTCAGGAGCTAGATTTCAGTGGAGGATACCTTTGGAGTCCCGCGACTGGTGTCGCGTGGCAAGAAGTGTGTCAAATGTAGGAGCCACTCAACGTTGATTGTACGCCGTCTTGTATGGGTTCTCCAAATGAGTTCATCTACGTTGACGGCGTTGTAAAGCTATCCCAACAAATGTCCTGCCCTCGGCGCACGGGCACACGGAAAAATGCCCCGTGCTTAGCGAGCTGCCCAAAACATCCCTGCATAATTAACTCGAAACCTCCCATCTTGATATAGCAAGCCAAAATTATTTGCCAGTTCATGTGCCCACAATAATATATGGCTTTGTCAAAACTACGGAACACTTCTACAGTAATGCTTGACAACAAAATGCATTTTGTTCTGCAGCGTGCGGCATCACAGTATTCTGGGCATAGGGTTTCCTGTATCAAACATGTAAACATCACCAGCGAGCGCGAGAAAACTCACCAAATACAATGGGCTCCCGACTGTGATGCATACCAATCAGCGTTCAATTGCCCTTCTCATTTGCTGGTTGGAAAACAATCCGCATGTTTGCAACAAATTGCAGGTGGAAGATCCAACCAAACATCAGCACATGTTGGAAGGTGAAGGAAAGCCAGAAAAAAAAGCCGGCCTGCAAAATGGGGGCGGGGCCCTTCTTGGACGCTTGGCCTGACAAAGAACGCCACCGCTTGGGCAAATTGGGGGCCTGCTTGGACGCCCAAATGCGGCGCCCGTTTCCCGCCTCGCCCTGGAGACCCGTGAGTAAGCTATTGGCCTTCTGTTGGAGCTCCACCTGAATGCCGGCCCAGTGCATCCAGGCAAAAAGCAGGGGAAACCAAGGGAAACCCGGGGAAATGAGGGGAAACCAGGGGAAACCCTGTACAGCCAAACAAATACTTAGGTGTACCTGTTGGTGCCCTCAAACTGCTCTTTATCCACTTTCTTCCTTGTCTAGAACTAGAATATGGGCATGGGTCAAAATGAAACCACCAGACTGCAGATTGAATCGTCCATGTGTCCATTGACCAGGGCAAGCCATTTTGGGCGTACCCTATTTTTGACCCACGGCCAGAAAACAAAACACATACTGTGGTCTGCTGTTGCTGAATCTTCAGGATCAAGCAAACCGTGGTTTGGATTTCTTCCTGCAAACTGAGGGGTTGGGGAGGTACCCCGTATTGGAGCGACGACTGGCTGCTTCAGGAACAAACACAAGCAGTCACGGTCACAATCACGTTGCACTTCGTAGAAAGCCCCAGAAAACACTTACGGGTACCCTACTGAAGCTGGACTCATGTCAAGGACCACTGTGTCAATAGGCTGGTAAGACACTCTTAACACACCCTTTGCGCATTTTGGGTGTGTGTGGTTCTTACGGCCCCCTGTCTTGGAACCAAGCTCAAAGAGGTACACTCAAAAGAACTGTTTGATGACAGCTCCAAGCGCCTCCTCTTTCAGCGCCACGAGCTCTTGCCGGAGGGCCTGACCATCTCGTGAACAAAGAAATGTGGTTTGTAGGCCTCCAAAAGGCTGCTTTCCATGCCGATTCAATCCAAAACCCTGCAAACCACTGAAGTAGGTAGAATCCTTCCAGGCAAAACACTGAAATCGACAATGTAACCACATGACCATCAAAACCTAGGGGCACAAACACCTGCTTGCCTGTTGTAAAGGAAGCTGGAAGGACTGGGACGGGCATGACTAAGACAAAGATCCCCCCCTACCTTAAGGTGGAGGGGCGTGGGGAGTCCCCCAATTCCATTTGTCTAGTCTTCCCATAACAGGGACAATGGAACCATCACCTCCATGAAGCCACCAGGAATTAATAAAACATATGTCCAGTAGTGATAGATTCCCTTTAAGACCAGGGGAAAACAAACAATACTCCTGAGCAAATGGAGCCGTAAATGGCAGTGGCTCAAAAAACCGGTGCCAAAATGGCCACCTTGGCAAATGGAAAGACTGAAACCCGCGTAGCCTTAGCTCCTTAATTTTGAGCCACACCCAAATGGAGATCTCCAGGATTTTCCCCAAGTTCTGGAGCTGAGGAACAAATCACACGACTCCATCTCTCGGCGGGAGTGGAAGGGCGTGTATCTTTTACAACCCTTGGTGTGGTAGCAGCAAACGGTGCCTTTTGCAGCCCCTACTAAAAATGAACAGAACCCAAAAACCAAACAACCTAAAAACTTGCCAAAGTTGAAGTATCTATAGTTGTTCAAGCATACCCATGGCTTTGGTTGCGCAAAATTGCTCCTGAGAGAGAAGCCGCCCACACACCCAATTGCCTGGATCAGAACTGCACTGTCAGTGGAGTTCTCGATGCTTTCGATGCCCTCCGATGCGTTTCGGCCACCCACATGTAGCCTTTTTGGGGAGTGGGGTGCCCCACTTTGACTTATCCAATATGTTCTGCAGGGGGAAGCGGACAAACATGGAAACGGGCGCTCAAATGGGTGTACCTCAAATTGGACCCCCCCAAAAAAAGACAGTGACAAGCGCAAGAAACAAATGGGGCCTTTGGATTCGTCAGGAACCCCAAAAAGACACATCCATGGGCTTGAATCCCGAGGCTCCTGAAAGACTGGATTGCTGGGAACTTGGCCCGACTTAGGCCAAAAATCACCGTGCAAATTGGGAAAAGGAATGAATTGGGCGAAAAGGTTGGACACAGTCTGACAATGGACATAAGGATACGTGCTTCCCCTTCATTTGACAGTGATTCTGGAATGGTTCACTTTCAGTAAAACCGCTTCCCTCAAAGGGCCAATTCTTGGTTCCATGTTAATCCGCATCGGTCCATATCAAAGGAACCAACAAAATAACAAAAACCGGGCGGCCATGGAGGCCATCAACATGGAAGGACAAGGAGCCTCAAAGGCGGCCGAAAAGAGACCTTCATTCGAGTATACGAGAGAGTTGCGATGGGCATTTCAAGATCGATGCTGTCGATTAAACAAGGTGTTCTTATGTCTTTCTTTTTTAATTAAGGGGAACCCTCTTTTGGCTGTTTCCTGCATCAAAACGGGGCGGCGTCCGGATCCCCCTAAAAAAAGGCCAGCCCCAAACCTCTTACCTTGTCCTCATCCCCTGCTAAAAGTTCAACGCATAGTGGCTTAATTCGCAAACCCCACCACTAAACCAACTAAAAACCTCTAAAACCCAAGTTGAACTGGATGATTTGCTGGGAACCACCGAGCTACAGCGGATTGTTCTTGCATCAACGGGGTTGCCTTTCTTTCCTTTTTGTTTGGGAGTGGGCGAACCCCTAAATCTCTTGCCTTGGTTGTCCTCAGATCCCCTGATGAATGGAAATGCAGCCACCAAACCAACTAAAAGCCTAAAACCCTGAGGGAATGGATGGGAACCGCCAACTTGCGGGTGTTCTCTGCATCGGGTGATTGCGCCAGCGCCTGGCTCAGGTCCGCCGTCTCCGTCTTCAGCTCCGCAAGCTGCCGCTGGCGCCTCGCCGCCTACCACGGCTTCGCAGAGTCGGTGCCATGGTCAAGCGACGGACCACCGCCGGGGGGGTCGTTTACCACACGCCACTGTCAACCCATCTGAACTTGGTTGCTGTTGAGCCCTCTGCACAAAGTTGCTCTTTTGCTGGGTTTAGTGGAAAACCCTTTGTCCCAAAAAGTTGAAGTCTCAAGATCCAACCCAATGGCAATCAAGACAAGGCACAAGTGCCCTGAAGCAAACATGCTTGGAGAGCAAAGAGCCACGGTCCTTTTGTCGGCGCGCGGACATGCCTTTTTGCCGCATCAGGCCCATTTCAAAGCCACGCGGTGCTGCGAGGCGGTCAGGCCAGACGAGGGAATGGAGAACCACCATGTCTTTGCTCTGACAACAGCTCATAGTCCACTAACCACATGTTCATTGGTGGCTCCCTCTCACCCGCTGGAAACCTTCTCACTCTCGGGCTCTTTCGACTTCGGCTCTGGCTCCTTCAACTTCGGCTCCTGCCGACGACTTGATCCCCACCTGGTTGGAAAACGCGGGGGATTCCTCACTCTCATTAAAATCATGGAAAAGAACCCCCAGTAATACAGGATTACTATTACTCCTGCACTCGCATTCCAGGAACATGAGTGGAATTGGAAGAATCTCAATCAACCCGTTCCAAAATTCCCTCTCTTGCTTGAAGACAAAGACAATTAATTGAAACATCTGGGCGACAAAAGACACAAGGCAAAGCGATACTATAACGGCAACCATGGCATATGTCATTGTCTCCAAGGAAAGGAATCCCCCAAAATGGGGGGGGGTTCCTTTTGATCTGCCATCATGAAACCAATCCACAAACAGGGACAAACGTCGCCAACAACTTGGCCTATTGCTGGCAAAAGGGAAAATAGAAGGTAGCCAAAAACAGCAAACACAAGTTATAGAATTAAGTCTGGTAATGCCCCACCATTTTGGATCTACTTGGAGACGTCCCAAACATGTGATATTCCCCTCCAACCAACACACCCGTGTGGCTCTAGCAGACTGTCAGGTGAAATGCTTTTCTAGGTAGACGAGTCGACTCATCTGCTCGAGCTACAATCATTCCAGCATCCAGGGTGCTTTAAACATCAGGACAATTCACATTAAATGGCCCCCAAGGGTGATGTTGAAAACCACCAAAGCAGGAAATATAGGGAACCCCAGCATCGAGGAAGGCCGGCTGTGGAAATCCTTGATTCGTCTCTATCTGTCCGTGTAAACCCTGACCAGCCATCACGATCCCTTCATTCTAACACCTAAGAATTTCTTACCTGGAAGGAAGGGTTGGGAGAAAGTGGATCCATAGGTAGGCAAACGACGAGATAAGGATGGATCCACCAGATTATCCTTTCATTTCCCATCTCTTCGCTCGGGCGCTGGTAAGACAGCCCCAAACAACATAAACTCAACCACAAATGAACAATAAAGATTAGCAAGAAGAAAGAAACAAAAGAAAGATATGAAATAATATTGTATTTCTGAAAATGCTTTTAGGAGTTGATATTGGTTGGTAAGAGATGTTGGGTTCAGAAACTTTACCATCTTACATCTCTATTTATTCCTCTTCTCTTTGCAATATCTTACCTTTCTTTCCTTTCTACATCATGTCATTCCTACCTTCTAACTCCATAAATTCATTTTCCTAAGATATGCAATAATAAAAAGAGCCCAGCTTCTGCATGGTGGGTAAACCTATTTGACCCCCAGAGCGCCGACTCCGACCCCTTGCTGCCTCTTCAGAGATGGCGCGGTTGGCTTTGGCGACCTCGCTGCCAAGCTGCGCCGTGCGGCAAGCTGAAGGAAAACATCCGGAACCGGGACCCCCCAATGGCTGGCAAATGGTCTGTGGAATGACCTCCCAAGGGCTGTTTTGGGGTTTTTTGCCAGCCATTGGGAGGTCCTGGAACATGATTTACACGTTTTGCAAAGCACGGCAGGCAGAACAAATAATATGAACACTTTGCCCCTGGCACGATAAGAACTCTCACCCGGATGACATGTGCCATCCTCCGCATGTGGCTTTTGTGAAAACACAGTCGTCCTGTGTTCACTACCTGGTGAGGTCATGGTTTCCAATGCAAAGGAAACTTGGATGGCTCTCTTCGGGTAACATATGATGCAAAAGAGCGTGCTCAGCAAGCTTTGTGGGTGGCGTTCAGCAGGTGGATCCCAAACTTGTCTTCAATCGCCGTTCTCTTTAGAAACCGCCACTCTGTCAGGTGATTTGCCAATTCCTTAACGAGAAGGACTTGTGAAGACAATGAGGAAGCAACGGATAGAAACTTAAGCCGGGCGGGCTCAGTGTCAGTCCTAGCACCAGTTTTAAGGAAACCCGAGGCCCGCAAAGCCCCCAAGTCCCAAACAACGCTGGTTGCACTTACCATTACAGGCGGCAACTAAAGCAAAGTTGTGGTTTCGGGCTCATAGCCATTTGTTGTGGGTAACCAAGGAAAACTGCCACGTAGAAACTCAAGTTGGAAAAACAACTTACTGAAACGGTAGCTATGGAGCCCCATGAAAAGGCATCCAACTGATGCCATGCTGGCTTTATATTGAAACCACTATAGTATGGGTGCGTCTTTTTTGACGGTGCCCCCTTTGTGTTTTTCTTCAGGAAGCCAGAGGGAAAACCCTCATTTTGGGGGGAAACTATCATATTTCAGCTTCCTTCCAATTGGTGGTTTGAAGCGTAATCGGTGGCTTGGTGGTCTTCCGCGGTGGCAACAAGAACCAGGAGTTCGAATCTCCAAGCCACCAACCCAAACCACTGATTGATGGTTTTCCGAACATTGTTCAAACTACTCCGGAACCCCCAGCTTGGCTAGCTTCCCAAGCAGCTGGCATCGTGTCTGTGTCAAGAAGTGGGATTCCCTTAAAACAAACCCCGGGATGGTTGAGATCTTCCAACTCATTCCCTGCGTCTCTCAAACCGATCGCACGTCTTTTTCAGGTACGCATCCTTCGCCTCAACCAGATCCCATGGCTGATCCCGGGGTCCCCTCTTTTGCGGGGCACCCTGACAGCCATAAGTAAAAAAGTCAAAAACGAAACAACACCAAAATCCCCCAAAAAAAAAACATGCAAAAAACAAATCCGCAAAAACACACACGACAAAAACAAAAACATCCGAGGCCCGACCAACCAAATCGGTCGTACCGCCTTTGGGCTCCCGGGCCGCGTTCTTCACTGCGGACTCCTCCGCCTTCTTCCGTGCCCTTTGCACCGCGTCCAGCTCCGCCGCGTCCCCGGCGGCCTTGGCCGCGCTGTCCTGCGAGCAAAAAGCCGGGCAGCCAAAGAAACGGGCGGATGGCCGGGTGAAAAAGCGGGGAAACCTGGTTCAGTTTATTGTTTTTGGTTGAAACCGAAACCTGCTTCGTAGTACCTTGGGACCCTGGAAAAGCAGGCCTTTGGCCGAATTTCCATTCAGAGCCAAGATCAACATCTAGAAGGACCCTGGTTTTGCGGATCCTTGGAAGACCAAGGGTGGGTTAGTTAATCTAGGCTGGAACCTGTTTCTTGCTGGGGTTGCTAGGCTGGAACAGAAGGCAGCCAACCGTTTTGCGACTGGTGTTCAAATGGCCCCCAATCTGCGGAAAAATATAGCGCACTGCTAAAGGGCAGAGTGTTGGTTTTGGTTTCCAGCACAACAGGGCTGTGTTTTGGGTTGGCCATAATGTTCTTCTCCATTTGCCGTGGATTAATCCACAGATCTGGAACTTTATGCTTCCTCTAACAAAACTGCCGTAAGCTACCTGGAAGATCAACTTCCTTTTGAAGGGTCCATTTCCTGTCAGATGTGGCGTAGACATCACAAGGCCCGGATCCCGTTTTGGGTTCCTTCGCCGCTTCTTCTGCCGCCGCCTTGGCCTTGGCGAAGGCCTTGGTCTTGGCGTCCTCGTTCGCCTTGTCCTCGCGACATCCGGTCCCCTCCCGAGGCAATCCGCGCCTCGGACTCGAACGGATCCGCGAAATCATTCCAGCGGAGCAAAGGCAAAACAACAAATCGAGGCCGAAGCCATACACAACCTTTTCCGCACAATCTCATTTTACAGGGGTTTCCAACTTGGCATCACCGAGCTGCGACCTATTTCTATTAGCCACAAAGGCCCGACGATAGAATGTCAAATCCCTAGGTTCTTGAATCCCTACCTGGAGTCTCCTTCCGACCCCTGAAAAAAATGGTCGGTCATGGACCCATCTTTTTTTATCGGAAGGAGGCTCCAGGTAGGTACCAAGCCGGGACCCATTTCTGCGCGGGTCGGTGCGTGCAGTCCTGGGCTTCCTCTCGGGCCTTGATCACCGCCTTCTTCTCCAGGCCCAGCCTGGCCTCCTCTTGGGCTTCTTCTGTGGCCAGCTTGGTGGCCTGCATGGAAACCAGTGAGGAACTCCCATGGGTGTTTTTCTTCGGAAAAAAATGTTGGGGGAAGAAAACGAGGCCTCCATGGTAGCATAAGTCAACACACACTAAGCGCCTCTTGGTAAAATATAGGCCTTCCTACACAGAATGGGTTCATACCTTGCCTATAGCTTAGTGGCCATTGCCCACTTTCAACAAATCTCGTCTTTTTCTAGATTGATGGAAGAAGACACACATGTTTCTGAAGTGAAAAGTGGAGGATCCAGCAAAATCGCCAAGAAAACCGAGGCCTTGTGGGTTGAGCACTTGAGTGAATGCGCCGCGCCTGGTCTTCGGCCGCCTTCTTCGCCTGCGATTTTGAAGATGGCCCGTTCTATCATGAAAGTGGCAAGTTCAAGCTTCTTTTGGCAAACCACTCGGGGAAACCATCCGTGGTAAAGCCTAGACATAAAACTGCCCTAACCTGGAAGCACCGGGACTGACAATCAAGCTTTGCCGTACATGCATTCCTTGCTTGCTGCGTTATTGTTTGACATGGTCAGCTAGGGACCGTTCCTTTGCTTCCTTGCCCAAAGCCGACCTGTTGACTGTTTGGTTGTCCCATTTTGATACCCAGTCTTAGTCAAGGTCCTAAAAGGAAATCAGATCTTTTATTTCCAGGTCCCATCCGGGGCAAGTGAGTACTTGAAAGCCACAAGGACATGGCCGGTCACTAGAGTAGCTTGCCTGCTGGGCAAACCGCTTGCAGTTCCCGCTTTGAAAAGTTTAAAGTCAACCAACTCGGAGAGCACGTAATGTTATCTCAAATTAATAGCCCACAATGTGATCCGCATTCGCTTGCAAATGAGACACCCCCCAGTCAACATCCGTCCGGAGTTCCCACTGGGTGAACCCTAAACCTGACGATTACCTATTTTCTGCAGGCTCCTTGGCAATTCACAAAATTCGATCTTACATAGTGCTCATTCTGGGGTTTTCCTACATACAGAAACAACTTTTGGGGGAAGGTTCAGAGGAAGCCGCAAGGATACATGCGCATTTCTTTCTATTTTGAGCAAGTTCATGTCCGAATCTCAAAGTGGTCATCGGGCCTCGAGTAACATGATGAACATACAAACAAGTGGCGCGAAAAACGCTGACCCGGAAGCCAGAAAGAACAGATCTGCGCGTTTTCCCATTCCCTAAGGGTGCCCAAAGGACCCAGCAATGACCAGTAAAATGGTTGCCAACACGGGGGGGCCAAAAAGTATCTTCAGGTCATCAAGTCTTCAACCATCTTGTTGGACCTGGGCATGTCTTGTTGTTGGCCCTTTTTCGTGATGGCGGCACAGGGAAACCCAACCGGACAACCCGCATTTTCCAGGGGTCCAAGGCCATGGCTGGAGTCTCCATGACCCTTCAAAAATGGGTCCATTCCCCCATTGTTTTGGGCAATGACCCCATTCAAGCGTGGAGACTCCAGGTATATTGTTCCAGACACACGCGCGCGCCCGGAGGGGTTAGCTTCGGGCTTCCGCGTTGCCGCGCCTTGGCGTCCGCGAGGCGCTGGGCCTCCTCTGGCGCCTTCGCCCGCACCTGGCGTGCGAGGGGTCCCCCACTCTTTTTGGACGCAAGAACTTCGCAACCCAGGGGCTTTTGGGATATATGGCTACGAAGGGGCTCCCCTTTTGGGATAGCGAAGGATTTATCTGTTTTTTTTTTTTTTGGGGGGGGGGGGGGGGGGCAAAAAGTGGACCTCTGAAGAAGGGGGCTTTTGGGATGTATGGCTACAATTTTTCATGGGGAAGCCCCTGAAAAGTGGCTGGTGGCATCCTTTTTGGGACACGAAAATTCGCAAGGTCACCAGCGAAAAAAAACATCGCCTAATTGGTGGTTTGTTGGGTTCCTTGCTCTCAAAGATGGCTAACAGCTCGTGGCAGAAAGATGGGCCACGGGAAAAAAGCCCCAAAACCAGCTGTTCCACCTTTGTATGAGATTCAAAGCAAGCACGAAAAGAACCCAACCAGAAACCCAGGTCCCAGGCGGGCCCCTCTTTTCCTTCAGAAATTCCACCGCCCCCCCCCCCCAAAAAAAAAGAAAAAAAACACAAAACAAACAAACAAACTACCTGGTACAACCACCGGTTTTCCCCCAAATACGACGCGTTGAGGTCTCGTGGTGGAAATGCAGCACGAAGATTGGGGGGAGTGATGTGGCTGCAAGCTGCAGCCCATATTTGCTGCGCAACTTTCCATACAGAATATAATCTGCCTGTCCATCTGGGTCGTACGTTGTGCCCCTTTTCTATTGCTCTGTAGGCCCTCTTTAAAAAAAGGGGGCCCCCAATGCTAGGTAACAGCGTGCCACCCGCACGGCCGGAGAATCAACATTTGCACATCCATGCAAGGGCCAGCATCCCGCTCTCGAGAAAAGTCCCAAGTTGCTTCGGCTGGCGCACATGAATCTCCAGCTAAATGATGTCCGGCAAAGTGTCCCAAGATACACAATAAACATATTGGGGGAATGGATAGAATCGGAGCTAATGCCAAATTCTTGCTCCGGTCAGCTTCATCCCCTGCACATTCGCCGCACAGCCCTTCCATGCCTTGCAACCTGTCGCGGCATCGCTTTGCTCGTTTTTCCAGCTTCGCCCGTGTGACTTCGACGCATCTGCAGCAGGCAGAGTCATCCGAACTCGTCGATGAATTCTTGGAGTGCGTTCTCTGCCGCCTCCGTGGAGCTTACATGCTGCAATCTGGTCAGAAAATCTGCCACCTCCTGGTCGATCTTGTTTTCCAGGCCGTCCCTACCAGGTGCGGTGATTCAACCTTTCTTTAGGGACAAGCCACGATTGACTTCTCCCCTACAAATGAACATGCAACCCAACAAGGGGGCTCAACCAAGATGAGTTTCCTCGACACGTGTATTTTCTGGGTTCCATGTTAATTTGTAGGTAAATAACCCTCCCTTTGGTTTCCCTTTCAAGGAAAACAGGGCGTGATTCTAAAGCAATGTTTGAGCCAAGCGCCTGCCACGAGAAACAAAATCTTGCGTCAGGTCCCCGAGCGCTTCCAGGAACTTCTTCCAGTTTGCGGCCGAGCGCAGCAATTCAATGTCGAAGGTCTGCACTATGCCGTGGATCAGTGGAAACCTGAAGGCCAAAACCAAATACCAACCTCTATGGGGCGGTGCTTTTCCTTTTTAAACAAGTAGTTGAGGGTTCACCTAGACAGTTTAATGGTACAAACCACCCAACCGAAAGGAAGGGTGTCCTTTCCTCAGCCGATTCCCACAAAACTGGATCTGGCTTCTTCCGCGAATCTGGCGAGTAAGCCATAGGGTTTGCAGGAAAACCTCCCCGAAAAGGCTAAAACAACCGCATTTCTTGCAGGGAGGAGCTTGCCGGCTCCAACGTCTTGGCACGTGCACGTCTGCCCGCAGGCACGTTTCTCGCCCCGGAGAATGGGGAATGACGACTTCTCTGCCAGAACGCATGAGACAAAGACCGCGCCCCGCCAGCATGGAGTATGGGAAGCACACCGAAAGCCCGAAATGATTCTGACTTGGAATCGCCTTGGCCCCCCTACAAACTTTCCACCCGGCCTGCGCGGATCTGGCAAGCGTTCCGACTCTATTGCAGGCGCCTTCGGCGAAGAGACTGCCGGACGTCCGAAGTGGAGCAGGAGCTCCTGAGCAAAAGCGTGGCATGGAGCCAGAGCTTGTCACAACTTGAAGCACCGAACCTCTTAAAGGGTTTGCAAAATGGTTCTGGGACCTAATCCAATACTGTTCGTTCAGTGGTTGATTCCCATCCTGAGGATATATCACAGAGGGTGGCAACCTAAAACCACCTTTCCACAAACATGAGCTTGTTTTTGTGAAGGGACACGCAACTGGCAGGGTGTGTGGCTCCAAAACAAACAAAAACATGTTTTGCAAGTCCTCAAGTTACTGCTTGGGGGCGGGTCCTCACGCCTTCGACTTGCCTCGTATGCTCTGAAGGCCCGGAAGTCTGAGCCTTTGGGTCCCAAGCTGACTAAGAGGTCCGTCATAAAGTGACCGTTCGGGAAACCACAAAAACAGATTTGATAATTCAACCGTACTAAACGGGAAAAGTTGCCCATGGCCATTTGGGGGCCGAATGGAATATTGATCAACCCCCATGTCCGGTCTGAAGCTTGGGGTGCAAGATTTCCTGGACCTTCCAACGCACCTGAAAATTATGCTCCCCTTTCAATCAACTGGTTTTTGGAATTCGTACCTGTTTTTCTTGGCTTGTCCTCTTTTTGGACCTCAAGCAGTTTTTGGAGGCATGCGGGCTGTCAGGTCCTAATACGACCTACTCCAGCAAAAATTATTGGCAAAACCGCCCGCAACGGCCTGCGAAACGAGCGAAACAAACGCAAACGAGCGCAAATTTGAAGAGTGCTCAATTGGAAATGTTAACTTCCGGCCCTTTTTCATTGCTCGGGCAGAAATTGAAGAATCGGGCACAAACTGTCTGTTCGAGCAGAAAAAAAAGCGAGCAACAAAAACAAGTATCAGTGGAAGGTCCAGGAGCTCAGTGACTCTGGTAGAACAAGGGAAAGCCTTTTTGGGTTGTGACTCTGTGAATCGCACCAAAGCAGGGTTTCCAGGGAGCCCAGTGAGCAGCTGTATATGGATTTCTGTATTTTTGTTGAGGGTATTTGCTGTTGTGTGTTGTGCTGTTAAAGAAAAATACAAGGAAACCCACCACGTTGGGGTTTTAAAACAAAGAAGAAACACGCTCGCCTTTGCCATGCGCAAGGTTTAGGCTGGGAAGGTTGGGCAATTTTGAAGACCGAACGAGTCTAATCATAGCAGCATTTTCGTTCATGGTGCATCTGCTCCTGCTACGTATGTGCAAACACACACATTGATCAAACAAACCCACCCTCCCCCCCTCCCGCCCCCTCAGCCCCCGCGGGTCTCCTTGAGCACCCGCTGCAGGACCTCCCCGGCGCTCGCTTCGGCGACGGATCCCACGTCTGCAACCTGCGCCAGGTGGTGCACGAGGAAGACCAGGGCCTGGAACTCTGGGGAGTCCGGCTGTGAGACCTGCCGGAACCAGGACAGCGAGGCAGCAGGATTTCTTTGGTGAAGTTGACTACTTCGGATTTTGTTGGTGAAGTTGATTACTTCGGATTTGTTGGTTGGTTGGTTGGTTGGTTGGTTGGTTGGTTGGTTGGTTGGTTGGTTGGTTGGTTGGTTGGTTGGTTGGTTGGTTGGTTGGTTGGTTGGTTCCTTCCAGCACCCCCCCCAAGAACAAGCACGTTGTAAATAAACGCGTATCTACCGTCTGTTGAAAGGCACACCGCATTGCACCAAACAGAGGAAAACCTTGAGAATTGAACACAGGAATCCCTCAGCAGGCTTTGGCAAATTTTGTCACAGCCAGACCTCTGCGTGCAGGAAACTAGAAAAAGGTCGCATAAAGAATAGTGGTTCACTGGTTAAGCATGCTGAAGCAAACTTGCTCATCCCTGCTGACAAGTGCATTGCCCTTTGCCGAAGGCCTTCAGACGATGCAAGCCTTCTCGGAGAATGGGAGGCAGTTTCTGCATCCCTTCCTGCCAATTGGCAAATTGTTCGAGCACCACCCAAAAATGGTCGGTTTCCGCTGGGTTTCCCCTAAAAGCGGAACACAAAGGGGCAAACACCCATCTTGATTTGTGACAAGAATATACAAAAGGCTGCCCTTTATCCGTCGTCATTTCATCTGGGCAGAACATTGGTTCAAGGCTGGCTATTGGCAAAGGGCCTTGGTTCAAAGCCTTTAATCCTCTTCATTGCTTTATGGAAAGTGGCCACGAAACCTCTAGCGCTTGAGAACCTGCCACTTGCCCGTTCAAATCATTCATTTGTGGGGACAAGTGGACGTCCAATTCCCATTCATCGGCGTAAAGTCAAAAAACCCGCCATTCCGCACCCAAGCCACTATTTGTAAGCCCAAATTAGCCCTCCTTCGCCTGCTACAGTAGAACTCCTTTTGGATTTACTGTGAAGAGTCCCGGGGGTCCTTTCGCGGTTTTGCTTGCTGGCGTTACCTTGGGACACATGCAGAGCCCCAAAAACGTCACCAAATGGAAAGGCTTAAGATTGAACCTTTTGCTTCAGGCAAATTGTGGGAGAATTCGCACACACTTCGAGAGTCTAAACCATCCAAACCAAAAACACTTGAATGTTTCTCAGAATAGGCACCAAGTGTATTTCCTTTTGCTTCGAATCTAACAAAAGGGTGTCCACCGTTATTGAGAATCTACTATATTTTCATGAAGGCTTGGTTGCTTGAAGAACCCTAAGGCCTTACTCAAGGGGAATTCCAGGTGGGGTAGGTGTAGGCAGAAAGCAAGTCAAGAGGTGAGGTCTAGGTCTTCTGTTCGTGTGCGAATACTCCTTTCTGTGATGCCAGATGGGCAAATAGTCGCTATGACGACTTGCTCTTTTGCTAGCGACCCACTAAGCCCCAGTTGTCCACAACCACATAGAACATCAGCTCCCCAGATTGCTGCATCATCTTCCTACCATGCCTTCTCTGAACTCCTGGTAGTTCCGAAATTTCATCCCATGTCCAAGCAACTTGGGATACTGCCAGCTCCCGAACGGCTAGCTTCTTGAAGCACCCTGCCTCCGCCAAAGCAAAGCGCAATGGGCCGCTCAGCCAGCCGCGTGCACTGCGCTGGCCCTCGAAGACATGCAGCCGCGAGTCGGGGTGAGGAAAGCTTTCCGCCACCAGCTGGCGCACATGGTGTGCGGTCAGCAGCAAGCATGACCCGCCTGGGGAAGGAAGGCGAAGTGAACCGAAGTAACATGTGGCCATGGGTCAAAAGCCCGTACCCCCAGTGATCATCCCAACCCCCACTAAAATAGACCAACAAACTTTCAGGACCCCCCCCTGTCAGGTTTCGTGTTGATTGGTGGACAAAACATGGAGCTAAACCAAATTGTGATTTGCTAAGGCAAGTGAACTAACTGCAGCCAGAGACTCTTGCACAATGCGAATGACAAGACTTCACATCCCTTGTAATCATCAAGGGCATCCCTGTCAGTGTGGTCCTAGTGGCCAGTCATCCACATGACTAGCCAGTCACCTCTCAGCATCACAAAATCACAGCTTGATCAGGGATTGAATACCCAGCCAATGTTTTCTAAAGTCGGGGGTCCTCTCTTCGACCAAGGTCCTAGTACTCTTCTTCAAGGTCAACATGCATGATGCATCACTATTTTTTCCTTTTCGAGGGCGCCCGATTTTGGGCTATCATTTTTGTGCAGCCTGTTTTTGCAAATGTTACACTATAATTGCAAAGGCTACATTCAGGGATAGTAGAGGACCTTGATCACCGTGAGCCTCGTTTTACCCCCGAAACCGGTGAGCTTGCTGGATAATGATGGGTTAAAATTACACCCCCTGTAAAAACCGCAGCTTTGAGTTCAGGTTTCAACTTTTACCGACCGGGCGCGCCAGTTTGGGGTTACGACAACCGCAGCCACATTTCGGTAATGAAAGCGATTTGCCTGGCACCAAATGCTGGAGCTGGCCCACCAGTTGCCGCAACTCCGCCGGCACCGCTGCGGTCTCCACCCGCAGCAGCTGCGCGCTTGGCTTCAGGTGCTGAATCCAGCGCTCCAGGCCCTGCTGGAGGTAGCGCATCTGGCTGTCGACTTGACCCGGCTGGCTTTGGACCTGCACTTCACTTTCCACGTTTCAGGTTTCAAGAAGGCTCAATAACGGAGCCCAAGCCTCTAATGCAAACCAGCGATTAAGTATTCAGGCACCTGAATCAATGATACGAATGAACCAGAACTTGTCTAGATAACGGTTTGGATCCGCTGTTTGTGGATTGCGCCTGTTCTTCCCACTGTTAGTCCTTGTTTAGGAAACGTTTAGTACTCTTTTAGAATTCTACAGGGGTGGAACCACAAAAGGCTACATCCAAACCGCTTTCTAGATTGTGGGTGACTGGATTGTTGAGGGTATCCTGCTTAAGGTGTCTTGAAGGGACACCATGGGGTGTCTTTGGAAACCACCCATGTGTCCGACAAACCCGCCTGACAAATGATGTAGAGACTGCCCGCACCGATGAAGATCTTAAAGTCTTTGCAGAAAGGGTCTCCGGCCTTATCGAAGAACTTGAACATCTGATGGTCTTTGGGCAGCGTGCAGGGGGAGATGCCGCGCACCCAAAACGAGCACACCACGAATTTGGGATCCTCTAGGGGGATAGAGGGTCAACGAGTCAACCGGGGAGGAACAACCAAACATAGACTAGCAAAGGGAAAACCGGTTAAGAAGGCTAGCTTTGGTCACTGAGTCCTCCTCAGACATCTTTAACTCGATGGGGTCAATCCGGCCCGCCGCCGGCAGTTGAAAATCCTTAAAATGGCTTGCGAACTCCTCGACAATCATTTTCACTGGCTGTGCATGTAGCCCGTGCTCGCCTTGATAGTGCGAATCTCTGCGAAGGTTCTTGAGTGCTGTCACCAGCACTCTTCGAATCTCATCTGGAATCCGTGAAATCCCAGATGACTCAAATGACCCCTCTGTGACGCATGCACTGGCACCATCTGACACTTTCAACTTGCCAATCCAATCTGCAACTTTGTCCAAGGACTCTTCAGCCAGGATAGCAGCTTCTAGTTCCTTCTCCCAATTATTCCGAAAGAGATGCCGCTTTTCAAGAAACAGGGCACCTATCCTTTGCAGCTGTGGAATCATGTCTGAAAATGTCTGTCCACGCTGCTGCTGTGGAAGGCCGATCTCTTCCTCGACCAAATGCGCCAGGCTACCGCAAAGAGCAAAGGTGTCCAACAAGGCCCGCCACTGTGCTTCTTCCAGTATCTGCACATCTCCGCGCTCAGATTGCTCCTTACACCCATCCAGCATTCGCATCAAGCTGACGTGATCCGGCAGCTCTGCCCACTGAAGCTCCAGAAGACCAAAGGATGCATGTCGCAGCATCATCTTAAACCTATTCAAGAAATCCCCAATGCTGCATGGCTGCTGATACTGCAGAAGATGCGCAAACGCTGCAACGCCCACACTGGAATCTCTGATTGTCAAACCGTTGCAGCACATGTAGATGAAGATGAACACATTCTTGTTCGAGTTGCTTGCACTGCTAACATCATCCTCATTCAGCAGCTCGCGGCAGCAATCCAGAATCACAATGACAGGCAGCTCCCGAGCTGTCCAGCCCTTGGTATGCTAGCAAAACATTTGCGCCTGGCAGCCCCCCAAATGACAAAAACAACAACGAGTACCTTTTTTTTAAGAAGCAACAACCAAAACACATGCCAATAATAGAAGAGAGCTTCTTCCACGGCCCTCTGGACGACACTTTCCAGGCAAAACTGTGGCTGTTCCCCCGTGTAGTAGACAAGTAGGCTGCTGATGCTCTTGCGATCGCCGCTGCCGACTGCTTCTTTGATGTTCCTGATGCTTTCAGTCACATCCTGAAGTTGGCTCCAAGTGCCAACCAAACAACCCTTGTTTGGGTTGGTCGATGTTGCTTGTTTTCTGGTTACCGAGAGTGATGTGCGCAACAGGTTGCACTCCTTTCAGGGATGGTCATTTGGAGTGGAGAAACTATTGGCTTCACACAAGGAGCAATTCTGGATTAATGTTGCCATTCTCACACGTCACCCCACTCCCCAAAGGTAAGCCCACAACACTGATTTCAAACTACAGTCCCCAAAGAGGAACAACAACTCAAAATGATGTAAGGGAGGGGCTTGCAACATGGTGAGCCAACTGGCCGGCAAAACAAAAACAAAAAGCCAACTGGATTGACAGAAAAGGGGAAGGATTCCAAGTGGCCCGACAGAAACGGGGGACACATGTGGTGAAAAATTGTGCACAAACCCTAAATCCCCGACTTTTGTGGTCATCTAACGCCACAGTTCGGCTCAATTTTCTCCCTGCCTCAGATAGAACCGCTGACTTCGAGGAAACTCCCAGATCTGTCGCCAGTCTTGCCAGAAGCTTTGCGTCATCAGCACCGCTCCCGTTGCCCACCGCTACGAGATGAAACTCAGGCTCAGGGAGCTGGATTTCCTGAACAACACAAAAACAAGAACCACTTGCTTTCGCCCCCTGCACACATATGTCCATCTCTATGGTCCTGTGGCAGGTTCCCTTTGAAACCAGCAGAGGGTAAACAATATTCCTAAGTGGAAGAAACATTTGCTGGCGCGATGGGCAGGGAATGAGACATGGAATGACCCCGAACTAAACTATCCAACTGGTGGTTTCCGTAAGGGAATCCCCAGGTTCATTCCCTCATTCCCCACGTATCGCACCAGCAAGCAAAACAAGAATTGGATCCACCCTCTATTTGTTAGTCGATTTTACAAGGCGATCAACAACCCCAACACGATGAAGGGGGCACTACTGGAGGTTGCCACGGTCATACAAAACGACTAAACAAAAAACACAATATCCAAAATGAGGGTGGCTTACGCCGGACCACGATTGACCAAACCGCTAGGCAATTGGACTCCGCAAAAAGTCGGGCGGCGGACTGCACCGAATACTGCGCCGTGCCGTAACCTTTCGCCATCGACCCATGATGCCATGGCCGTCGAGCCGGGATGCTTTGCAAATGCCAACTGGCCGGGTGAAAGGGGAAATGAAGAAGACCCAAAAAGGCAGAGCAAAAAGCTACTTACTGAAGTCTGGCAGTACAAAAAATATATGCGGCAATAGTGCAAGGACACAAAACTCTGGCCCTTTCGCCACAACCTGTGGACCGCGGTCAAAATATTATTCTGCCCTGAAGGAACAGAATTTGGGCGCCGCCCCTTGTCGGGAGCACCTCGAATATATGGGTTGATTAAAAGGTCCCGTGCGCGGGGTGACGCGTAGGGAAACCACCCAAAAAGATGACTTTCGCCACTAGACGGGAAAAATTCCCCGTACTCATTTTGGTGCCCCAGTAAATAGATGTGTATAAATTTATAGATATATATATATATATATATCTATATCTATCTATCCATGGGTGTAGTATCATCCAGAGTTGCCTGTAAACGCATTTGCATGCGCTGCTATTTACTACATATCGTGCGTTTGCCGCCGTTGTGAGCTCATATGTTTTTAACCCCTTCGGGCAGCTGCACAACCCGATCTTTTTCACGTATCGCAGCTTTAGTCCGTCGCGATTTTTGACGTTTTCAGGTATCGCGCGCGCCCGCTCAGCACTGCATCCATGCCAGCCACATGGTAAGCAAACCCGCTCACGCGCACACGCTCAGCATCCATCTCAGCCGAAATGGTCAGCGCACCCGCTCGCGCGCGCCCGCTCAGCACTGTATCCATGCCAGCCAGTGGTACGCACACTCGGTCACGCGCACCCTCTCAGCACGGTATCCATGCCAGCCAAATGGTTCGCACTGCAAGCAAGACAAGCGTGTTCTGCGCCGGGCTTTGGGAAACTATGTTCTCAGGGGCGTCCCAAAGTGCAGTTCAGACGAGGTTCCAACGTGTAGCTCGTACTCCGTTCAACTCTTAACGATACTTCGCCGAGATATGCAAATATATATATATATACACATATCGCTAGGGCTCTGCGTGGTAGCTTTTCGCCTTGGCCCCCAAGGCCGCGAAGCGGTCAAATCCCTCTTTAGATCATAGAAAAAAAGACCTGTGCAAACCGACGCCGGCGCTTGAAAGCGGCCGCCTCCACCAGCGACTGCTCAGGGAGCCCCTCACCACACGCTCACAGGCAAAGCCCTCAGGCTTGAGCAAGCGGCATGATAGTCCTGGAAGCCGATGGGAGCATGATGATCAGGTGAGCAGGGACAGCGACCGCATCCCGGCCATCATGCGCTTGACGGACCCTGTAGACCGTGCTGTCTCCTTGCTCCAGCCTTCATTGTGGCGAAGCCCACGAACGAGAGCTTGAGCGGTTCAATGCGCTGGTAGGAAAAAACCAGCAAAGGGGCAATGGGAGCATGATGAACACCTGCCGCGCAAAGAACCTAGCCGTCCTTTACGCGAAGGGCAACTGAAGAAAGTGTCAGCGGACTCTCGGAGCCTGGGCCCGACCCCGCCATTGTGCAGAGAACAACTTCACCGCCTCGGCCGCTGGCCCAAGCGCCTTTGCGCGTGTCGGGCCAGAGAGCCGGGTGACCCGACCCACGCAAAGTCGTGCAAAGGATTGGTTATCTAGCTCCCTGGCAGTAAGGGCAAGCTGGCTGTCGCAGAGTCAAGCCTGGGTCAACATTTGATCTGCGACTCAGCGGGAGCGACCGTACGCGCACACGTTGCAAGGGGTGGAATTGGACTTGCGCACCCTCTGCCGGCTTTGGTGTCACTACGCTAGTTTCGCAACAAGCCGGCCCATGCAAACTGTAAGCTTGCGCGCGACGCAGTGTGCAACCTGCCGCTCTTATCCTTAACGCCGGTTGGCGCAGAACACTGCTTGGGAAACAGCTTATGGCGTTACACAGCAAAACGGGGCCACCCTCCCACGCACAGTCTCTGTGTCTCTCTGTGTCCCTCCGTGTCTCTCTGTCTCTGTGTCTCTCTGTGTCTCTCTCTGTGTCTCTCTGCGTCTCTCCTCTCTGTGTCTCTGTGTGTCTCTCTCTCTCTCTCTCTCTCTCCCTGCCTCTCGCTCTCGCTCTCGCTCTCCCTCTCCCTCTCTCTCTCTCTCTCTCTCTCTCTCTCTGATTCTGTGTCTGTGTCTGTGTCTGTGGCTGTGTCTGTGTCTGTCTGTCTCTGTCGATGTCAATCTGTCTCTGTCAACCTGTCTCTGTCAACCTGTCTCTCTCTATCTCTCTCTCTCTCTCTCTGTCTCTCTTCTTCTGTGTGTCTTTCTCTTTGTCTGTTTCCCTCTCTCTCTGTCTCTCTGTCCCTCTCTCTCTCTCTCTCTTTCTCTTTCTCTGTCTCTCTCTGTGTCTCTCTGTCTCTCTCTGTCTCTCTGTCTCTCTGTCGCTCTGTCTCTCTGTCTCTCTTTCTCTCTGTGCGTCTTTGTTTCTGTGTCTCTGTGTCTCTGTGTCTCTGTGTCTCTGTCTCGGTGTCTCTGTGTCTTGTCTCTCTCTGTATGTCTCTCTTTGTGTGTCTGTGTTTCTCTCTGTCTCTCTCTCTCTCTGTGTCTCTGTCTCTGTGTCTCTCTGTGTCTGTCTCTGCCTCTGTCTTTGTCCCTGTCTCTATCTGACCTGCCCAACAATTCCGGAAGCCTGCGAGATGCCGCGTCGTTCCAGCATTTTTGCAGGTTGAGTTCTGTCGGTGTTTGGACGTCTCTATTGGTGCCAAGAGCTTGCAAAAGCCGGTGCTCTCAGAGGTATGTTTGGCTAGTGGCTAGCTCAAGTTCCTCCACCAACTCCACCCTGGGACAGCTTCCGCGCTGGGGTTGACTGAGTATGCTGGGGCTGTGAGAACATTCTACGATCATTAAGTTGGGAGCCAACACAAATGTTGCTAGGAAAATTCACCCGGCAGTCTCCAACTATTAAAACATGGGCAGAACCAATCATGATTCGATTTTTTAGGTTGGACCCCCCAAACATGGTTGCTGCCCTAGTGGGCTCCCTTTAACAACCCAAAAGGGGTATCCTCAAAAAAGACGAGCCACCCGGAGAAAGGTATTGCGATACCCAAGCGCACGCAGGCGGCAACTGCTTTTGCAGCTTTCATTTCGCCTGTCCGTTGTGGGCCTTGAAACGAAGCGATGGTCCACCCGCCAGCTGCTGAGCTGATCCAGCGAGGAGAACTACCATGGTGGGCATGGTAAGGTGTTTTGGCAGTGTTGAATGGAATGAGACAAAGTGCCTTGATTCAGATAGTTTCAAACCCAGTGGCCAGGTGACTTCAAACTCTAACTCATTAAAGGGGACGATCGTTTTGCGTTTATTCTCGGACAGGTTTGGCACGCGAAAAGGACACCTACCAGGAGCCACAAAACCGATGATCATGTCATAGGAGCCACAAAACCGATGATCATGTCATACCTAAAAACCACGGTGTTTGTTGGGAAACACGTTGCTTTTTGAAAACACAGTATGTTCGATTTCAAGCAGTTTCCCAAATACATTCCTTAAATCATTATCCGTTCAAACAAGCGTCATCTCAACCTTAGAATCTCCCATTGCCCGCTCCCCCTTGTGCTCATAACGAAATCAGCCTCGCATTCGCCTCTCGTCATTCGCAACTCCAATCTGAAACAAGGAGGGCGGGGACCTAAAAAGTCAACAGTACCACATTGATGATTCAAAATAGGCTGCCAGTTTTACGACACTCGTCAAGCAGCAATGCCTGATGCTTGTGTAAATTCCCCTCCCAACCCTTGCCTTGACCCTTTGCTCCAAATGAGTTTGGCCTGAGAAGCCGATTCTCAAAAACAATGTCTTGTATAGGTAGACACACCCAGGCGCTACACGCAATCTCTTTCCCCGAGCCTCCCTGAAATCTAACATGGTGTTCACTACCCCAAACCCAGAAAACAATATGTAGAACACGTGGGGTATACCGTTTAACCCGAATTTTATTAAAGTCACCATACAGCAGCAACATATGAGCAGCAACATGTATGTAATGAGTTGGTCCATATCATCCTCTTGCCAACATGTTCCCTGCCAAAAATGGTCTATGATTCAGCCCTCCCTGCTCTTTGGCAAGTCTCTGCCACCAACTCAACAGCAGGGTGGAATCGGCACACGCAATCCCACACTAACCAAGCGGAGCAATGATTTCGTAATGCCCGCTTCAGACTCGCTTCATCTCTCGCTGGTGGCTTGGATCGGCGCAAAGCTTAGGCGCACTTCCCGAGATTGCCCAAATGTCGGAACTTTGGTTCAAGTCTTAATTCCCAAAAGTCTTCCCAAATGTATTCATCCTAAATGCCTGCATTGGTCTTCTCAAGAATTTCAAGTCCGGGAACTGTTGTGAGTAGGGCTGTTGCTTCTGATGTTTCAAGAAGGATTCAAAACCAAACTCAAGCCACCAATCCAAACCATTCTTGCGGGAGTGGGTGAACGGTGGCCTTAAAAGAGAACCGACCGCGAAATGCTGACTTAAAGCATGTCCTGTCGGAGCATGAATGTCTCCCCACGAAACAAACAATAAAACACCTTCTTGCCTTGGGCCAATGCTCAACTCTACAGTAAGCCTGGGAAGCATGAATCCTAGTCTACCACCTGAGCGAGTGCTCAATTTTTATTGAGCCCTCGCCATGGGTTGTCAAAAGCACAAGTCATAAAGGCTGGGCCAGCACTGACTGCAGTCCTTGACCCGAACGGCGCACACATGACGCGACGCAGCGAACGCAAGCAAAGCGAACGCCAGTTGGCATTGGCAACTGACGCAAGCATTGCTAGCTGGCACTGATATCAGTGCGGTATGTCAACCCCACCTCGCGAAAAGGGCACAGAGCCAGGTCCATCAGGCTCCGTCTCAATCATTGAAACCTTGCCACTCGCCGAGTCCTTCTGATGCAAACCACCCCACTCGTCTAAAAACGAGATTGACGGGTCACCTATGTGCGGTTTGGGCAAAATAGATGGCACCGGGTAAATGATAGAACGCTGAAAGCGCCATCGATGTTTAACCAAGTTGACGTCGAGGAATATTTGAACAGCGCCCAAGACTCCAATGGGCCATAAAGTCAAGTAGGTCGCACTGAGACAAGTGGGGCGCATCATTTGCGGATGGTGTATATTGAACATCCATTTGCAAAGCCACTTCCGTGACGTACATGGCAAATTCGCGAGGCCCTTTGTTTGTGGTGGGGAATGTATTTGACATTGAGACCGTAGCACAACACCCTCCCATTGACCGTCAGTTCTCAATCACAAAGGATCGCATCCCCTGCGAAACTGATCGCAGGGTTTATAGTCTGACTGCCACCATACTCGTCACGCTGTCATCCATGTCGCGGTGTGTCGAGGTCACCTGGAAGACGGACGCCCGAAAAAGAACACCGGCTTTGGAGAAGTTGGAAAAGGTCGACTTGAATACAGGTGGACAAGGAATTCTAAGGAAGAACAAACAAACACCAAACACACCACACACATCGGCGGAAAAGGGTGCCATCGAAGCCGAGGTCGCCGCTAGAAGCCAGCCGGGATTCTTCTCCAGGGCCTCGAGGAAGGCATCCAAGCGTCGCAGGTGCCTGCCGTATTCGAACCGAGAGGGTGGGATGCAACGAAGGGCAGAAAACAAAACCCAAACTTTGTCATACTGGAAACCAATCCCAGAAGTAGTTTTTTGCGAACCCCTCCAAGTGTCCAATTTGTGGAATCCGCTTTTGCACAAAGCGCAAAGGTCGTGCTGGCCTCACCGGGGATCCGAGAGTCTCTTGGGCATGGGTCTTGAATGGCAAAAACATGTGGCAACAGTTTCGCAAGATCAGGTGCAGTTGAGTGCACATCCAAGCACGATTTCAGCGATTTGAGTGAATCGAAAGTGAACTTAAGTGAACTGACAGGGTTGCCGGCTGCAACCTGGGTGCTGAAGATGTGCATCCCGCGTGGGTGCCCAGTTGAAGCTTCTCGCCAGTTGGGCTGGGCAGTCCCAGGAAGAGAGGCTGCTCCCGCTGTGCCGGGGGAATGCGAGGTCCTTACCAGGGCCCCGTTTTCAACAGCACACACAACCCAATCAGCCTGGTAGTCATAAGGATGCCCTGGTGCCCGAGGTCAACCAAAAGGAGCCTGCTCAAACAATACCCTTTAATCGAAATCAGGTTTGGTGCGCAGGGCCGCTTGAAACGACTTTTTGGAAACAGGGCTGTGCAACGAGCAATGTTTGTTTCTAATTGGCTAAGTTCTTGCACGCCAACCAAATGGGAATTCCACAAAGTCATCAAACACGAGCCCTAGATTGTTTCTTGGAGGGTAGTGATGTCAACATGTCTAAGAAAAAAACACCCTGCTCCTTGCTCTTGGCGCCTCCAACGGCAAATCCCATAGAACATCCCATGGCTGAGTTCCGCAGCCAACAGGCACTGGGAGCCAAACCTGAGACGGCCCAGCGCACCCCATTCGGATTTCAAATCTTTTCTACCGTCATTTTAGTAAAGGATAGTAAAGGGCAGCACGTCGACTGTGATCCGGAAAGGCAAAAACCTGGTCCAGGGACAACCCACTAGTGTTGACGAGCCTGATTTGCCAAAGAATAGGATGGGAAGGACGGGCTGTGTTGTTACGCTCGTCCTGACAGATTGCCAGGAAGATAGGAGGTAGGACAAGTCTTGAATCAGCGGACAAGTCTGGCCGGACGAGCTGTGTTTTGATGCGCGTCCGCCCTTGCCAGAATAGGAATGGTAGGACGAGCTGTGTTTCACCCGTCCCAAAGGTAAAGCAACAAGGAAAACGCCTCTTGACAAGCCGCCGGAAATTGCTGTCGGACTCCGCAACGCAGTTGTCGACAACGCAGGTCGAGCATCCATCCACATTTTTTGTTGCCTTCCGGGGTGAGTGGTACGTTTTAAGTATCTTTGTAGCATTTTGAGCTACCGCGCACAGCTTGCAGATGGCTGGGCCACGTTTGGGCCCTTGATGATGGTGATCTGAACCCTTGTTAGGCGGTGCTGCATGGGGAAGCAGCTATGGAGTTTCCCATTAATTGCACCCTTCTCAGGAGGTCCTGACAAGCCTCTCTCATATGGCTCTCCAGACTCCTGTAAGCGACTGGTAACAGGGTTGAGACCAGCTGGCCCTTTACTTTAGCAACGTTAGTTTGAGCTGCGCCAGATGTTGAATACTAAGCGCTCACCGTGCTTTCTTGTTAGGGCACAAAATCTTGATGGGCCACGTGAGGGCATCTGGATGATACGGCCTGATACTTTCAACTGGCAGGCGGCGGAGCTGGCGCCTGGCCAGCATCATGGTCCACCATTCCAATTCAACTGTTGACCTTCCGTACCAACCCCAACATTCCCAGACTTCAATGGGCGTTGAGCAAAACGGATCCGCTGGATGTCTGAGTGTCATCATGGCACTGGTTTCATCGGACCAAAACTTCAGAGGAGAAAAGCCAATCTGTAAAGTGAAATTCCCAATTAAAACCTCCCAATTTACCGCAACATGCCCCCTCCAAAAAGAAAACATCTTATAAACCAAACCATGCCCAACAGGCGTCAAATGTTCCACCCAAACTCCCATCGATTCGCTGCGGGTCCCAGTCCCACCTTCTCCACCGCCTTTTGCATGGCTTCCTTGAGAGCGGCAGCCTCGCTCCGGAGGCTGAGCGCTCAGCGCGCAATTTAACAACCATACTGCGGATGGTTGCAAAATTCCATTTCGCACCCGGGAAACCCTGCCAGAGAGTCGAACAATGATTTCAACCACGCTTTCAAAGTGGTGCGAAATGGAGTTCGGCCATCCGCAGTACAGTACCATTCCCACCCCGTTAAGGGGGGCACGTCTAAAAATGTAATTTGCATTGTGTAAGATGACATTTTCTTCCAGAGACGTGTCAAACTTAAGATTACATTCTGGACGCTGGTGGACCTATGTGGGCACCGATTCCACTGTCGGGCCCCTGTCGGGCACCGTACAGGTAAAGCGGCATCCTTGGTGGCTTCCATTGGCGGCACATTACATTTTCAGACGTCCCCCCATTTTCGGGCCCTAAGGGGGTGGGGATGCAGTACCCAGCGCGTCCACCGTGGATGTCCCAAAGATTGAAATTGAAAGTAAGTCAAGCGCAATGCTGGGGTCCCGGTGGGGTCCGGTTGCTGGATGTTCCAAAGATTGGAATTTACGCGGGGTCCCGGTTCCGGACTTGGAATATTTGGGGCATTCACCGTACCATAGGCCTTCTGGAATGACGAACTCTTTGAAGGTTCCCTAATATCTGATCTGCTTAGTTCCACAACTTTGGGAAATTAAAGCTTATGTGAGAACATGCCCAATTCGCTGCGGGCATTTGGACACAGGTCAAACTAAAAACCGGATCCAATAAAGTGACAGTGTCAAAGTTACCCGAAATGGTTGGTTTGAGTGAAGGCCCCCCCCCAGAGACACCTTCAAGATATGGCTGTGGGTCAAAAATAGGTACCCAAAATAGTAAATGGAAACATGGACTAAAACCTGCGGTCCCCTAGTGGTTGAATTTTGACCCACACCCATATGAACTTCAAGGAATAGGGTTTATGTTTTTTGTTTTTTTCAGATACACGCTGCGCAGGGTCATCCGTGCAAGACGTCGCCTGCAAGACGTCCTTCTCATCTTTGGTGCTGTTTACCGCGTCCGCCAGCGCAATCCGCTCCAACTCCTTCCGATGCGCCTCGTGCATAAGCTGGATCTTTGGGCGGGCCATGTGATGCTGGGAACATGTATATATGATCATACAAGTTGAGCCACGATCATATATACATATATACGTAATGTATGTAATGTATGTCCGTGCAGGAGATACGTCACAATCAACATATGGTAGGTCTACCCAAATCCATGAAAAAACATAGCAGCGCGGATAGCCAAACCTGTTGAGGGTTGGAACCTGTTGGGACTGCTGCCTCCCCCCCCCCCAAAGGCCGGGTTTTGAGCATGGCTCAGGTGAAGGTGGGTGGATCTTCGAGCTTCCGGGGGCCAGGGAAGAGCGGTCGCCCTGAGATAAACATGCATGCATAGTTGTACGTGTATTGTATGATTTTGTACGTGTGTACGTGTGTACGTGTGTCTGTGTCTGTGTGTCTGTGTGTCTCTGGTTGTCCGTCTGTAATGTAGTGTAACGTAATGCAATGCAATGTAATGGAGTGTGGTGTAGTCCCATGTAATAGGGGGGTGTCCCTGGGTTTAGTGGGGATTCATCACTTTTGGAGGGGCCCCCAGCCCCAGATTAATAACCAGGGGTTTACAAATCCCTGGTCAACATTGCAAGTTTCACCTTCGGTTCCTTCTTGGTCCACACGTAACTTGTTGGCGCGAACCGGCTACGAATCCCCAGTTTGGAACCTCAGTGCAACAATGGCCTCTGACCACTTGAATTGTTCAGGGAACAATCCATGCATACACGTATGTATATATATATTCTCCTGGAGTCTCCATGACCCCCGACAAATGGGGTCATGACCCAAAACAATGGGGTCATGGACCCATGTTTAAAAGGTCATGGAGACTCCAGGCAAAAATAATATATACATATATATATATATATAGATATCTACATCGGCCATGGCATCCGTGGTCATAGCCTCTGGATCCGTTCCAAGGAATGCTTGCAATGGTTGTCTACATTCCCTACCAAACCAAGGGGTCATGACCATCCCAGCATATATATATATATATATACACGTGGTTTGGAGGGTACCCGTTTCACCTTAGTTTTAAGGGCAAGCAAAGGGTCCAAATCCCTATTTAGACACCTACCAAATCCCTATTTCGACACCTACCCATATATGTATCTGGCAACAATGATTGGCCGGCCTCGGTGTAATCTTGCACCTGTCGCTCAATGTCTTCGTCGATGCGTTTTTGAGCCGCCTGTGCGGAATGCAACGGCAACTGCTCAGGCAGCACAACCTGACGTCATTAGGTGGGTCACAGGCTAACCCTGAAATGGATGACTTCGGAGGCTTCTTTTCAACGACATTTCACAAAGACTTACCCTCCAAACCAGACACACCCAAATAACAGCACCGCTGTGGTAAACTTGGCAAAGGCCTCTTCGATGCATTCACCATCACGTATCTAGATCACCACTGAATATCAAACCGTCACCTGTAAAATGTATCATCAGGACCCACCAGCTTGCATCGTCTTATGTCAAAACAAGTCCCTGATTCTACCAAAAAGAAATACCTGCAGCTGAGAAAGTGCGGTGATGTGTCCATCGTGAGTAATATGGGTGTGTGTCAAAAAGATCAAACGCCAAAATTGGGTTTTCCTTCTGGTTGGTTATCCTTTAAAAAGGGACACCTACGACTTCCACTAAGGGAAGAGACTGCAACTAGCCAGCAAGGCTCGCTCAAGGAGAGGGAATGCCATACCATCCAACAGGATCCCATTTCAAAAAAATGCTCAAAACCCAAAGGAAATTCCCGCCACGAAAACCAGCAAGTCCCCAAAGGACAAAGGAGCAAAAGCACCCTTTTCTTGAGTTGGATCAAACCCAAGCCAAAATTGACAAAAACAAACTCGGTTGTTTTGGTTCCCTGCTAAAAGTTTAACTTTTAGTGGTTTAAGGGAACACCCATTAGTCAAGCAAAATGCACCAAAAAAAGGCACCACCAGAGGTTGCCACAAAATGAAGAAAGAGTGCAGCTCGCAACAGGCAATGCCTTGCCACTCTGACACCTGGGATAGAACCCAATGATAAGCCACCAACTGGTGTTTTCTGTTTTGTCCGACAACACAAGCAGCTCACCTTCCAAAAGCTAATCTAGACACACGTTCTTGTGCAGCAGTAGTTGTTTTTTGGATATTGAAATCCCCTTGTACCTTGTCCCTGCACATCCGAAGGTACTTGACTTGCTTTAGCCTGTCTAACCCCATGATGCCAGGTACGAGTAGGATCAGGTAGAAACATGTGGGTGTGGTTCTTGTTTTGAGTTGGAACCCCCTGTTGGTTGATCTTCAGGGGAAACCAAAAGGACAACCATCATTTTAGGGTCCTCCAAAAGAGGGATATGGCCATGGGTCAAAATCCAAATCGTACCCCCAGAGAACATCCCAATCCCGACTAAATTACACTAACATGGGTAGTGCACCGAAAACCCCAAAATGGGATCCAAAACGGGTATGACCAACAGCCATGTACCAAATGATCCATGGGGGCCTCACTTCCGCTGGGCCTTGGTCGCCATGTCCACGGCCATGCGAGTGGCGCGATCTTTGGCTTCAGCGTATGCTTCCCGCTCAGCCTGGAGAAACGGCGCTTTTACTCAAGGTGTCATGCCACTTTTTCACCACGCCTAGGTCCTCCCGTAGAAAGGTTAGAATAAGGGTACCCGTTTTTCCGTATTCGATTTTTTAGGAGGGGAACCCTCCCCCAAAAAGGAGGAGAGAAGGGCACTACTGGGGGCCCAGTTGGCCAAAAAGGGAAACCACCAGGACACTGCCTCCGCTTGTTTGGGCCTGGGGCCTTCTGACGAGCCAAAACAGGGCACTTGAGGACCATTCAGAGAATTGAAGCAATTGGTCGAGCGTCTCAAAGTCCGCACAACGACCAGTTCTAACGAACCCCAGCACCTGAGGGGATGTCAGAATCTTGGGGCATGAGCTTGCCATCCCCAGTGTCAACCTGGCCTTCTTGTACACGGAGCGGGCAAAGGGCACCCCCGACTGCTTCATGGTCTCTTGGCTCAGCATCTTTCGAGCCTGACGTTTCTCTCCCGCTCTCTCTTCCTCTCTCTCTCTCTCTCTCTCTCTGCAGTTCTGCGTTCGGGTACCTATTTGGGGTTGTATATGCGCCTTTCGCCCCTTCGGAAAGTGAGCCAAGGCTGGGCGCTGTTTGCACGCCTCCCCAAAAGTGACAACATTGTGAAGCGGGTTGGCCAGTGCACGAAGCGGCACTGTAGGATCAAGGTGTGCATGTCCAGTCTTCGAACATAAGCAAAGCTTGACCATCACAAAGCAACGTGCAACAACTAGTGCAATGATCCGACTGGCTGCTCCTCACATCCGTGCCCTCCAACAATCCAATCTCGTTAACTTGTTCCTTCCCACACAGCAATGATTTTCGCAAAGAGTACCAAGTCCAGAAACTGGGGACGAAATTCAGGTTCAACTATCTGTTTTAAAAAGGCGGATTTTAAACCTGACCAGCCACTGGTCAGCTGCCATCAGTTCAAAGTAGACTCCTAATAAGCGGGCGAACCATGCCCTCGAGACAAGGACAAGGACAAGTGACTGATGGATCTGCAAGTGCCATGGATGTGTCCTTTTTCGGGGATCCCAAAATCGTGGGCTTTCCTTTTGGTTTTCGGTGAAAACCAACCAATCAGTGTTCCTTTGAAAAGACACACCCTTAGTTTCAGGACCTGGAAGGGACCTCAGAGCACGGACCTGTCTGGTCGTTTGACCCCCGGAGCTCATTCAGAGATGTCGCTGGGAAAAGCAAGGGGTTGCCAAACATATCTGTCAAACCAACAAGAAGCCATGATAAACACTTGTTCAATGCCTCCCCATGGAACCCCTGAAGTTCTAGGCGTCAAATCACGCCATTTCCAGTGTCGTCACAGATCATCCGGTCAGCGCCTCCCATTTCCGGAACCCATGGGAGCAGCTGTGCATCAAAATCGGGGGACCCACAAAACAAGGGGGGGTGTTCCTTTTCCTTCCGATAAAACCGACCCCAAAAAAGGGCGCCCTCAAAACTCGCAGACCCTTCGGATGCTGAAAATGGTGCATCCGTTTTGGTGGCTGGGACGAAAGACAACTACGTGGGACTCTCACCCACCGAGCCTGGCGCGCAGAGATGCAGGCTTTGGCTTCCACGATGGCCTTGGCCGTGGCCGTCGCCTGAAACGAGCTGTGCAGTTCACGATTTTTGTTTGGCGACCCGAGGGACTTTTGTGAGTCTCAAAGAAAGATCCCCTGAGAAAGCTGGCTGGGTGTGGTTCCGTGTTTTGAGGGTGCCCCTTTTTTGGCTGTGTTCAAGGGAAACAACAAGGAAAACCACCCAATGGAAGCCCGAAAAAGGACACCCGCAAAAGATACATGACGGTACCCCAGTCTCCCAGAAAACCCCGACAGGTAAAGGGAATGGGCCAACACCATGTGGGAAATCCAATCAACAGCCTTTTGATGCCAAAGTCAGCACAACTGTCTGCTGCTCAGTAAAAAATGACCTGGGTTTTGGGAATGAACCGTTTGGGGATTTCCTCAAAGGACGCCAAATCGGGGATGGTTTTTCTTGGCTGAGGGACCCTGCCTATCGATCTCGAACAAGGCAAGATAATGTGTTCTTCATTTCCGGGCCACCTGGCCTTCCCAGGGAAAACGGGAAACCAACAAAAAGCCAAACATAGCCAGTCGCGACACTCACTCGAGCAAGATGCATGGACATCCAGAGTTCACCTGCCTGGATCTTGAAGCAAAAGTGGCAAACCCAAGGTGCCACCTTTTAAAATAGATATCAAAAAGGACCCTGACGTTCACAAACTCCCAACAAATCCTTTTCACATGTTACCTGAAGTAGCGATGGTCATGGACCACATGAAAATTTAGAGAATATTGAGAATCTGGTAGGGTAAACAAGAAACACCAAGACATGCTAGAGTTCGAACGGCCCACTTTGAGGCCAAGAACACCATCCAAAGTGGGCGAAACCTGCACAGCTCGAACCTGTTCATCAATTCCAGCACCTCATAAGTTGTCTCCGTCAAACCTCCAGTGGCCACAGAGGTCTTTGTTGAGTGCTAAAACGGGGTTTCGCCCCTGACAAAGCTGGAGGTCTAGGTCTCTCGCCATAAACAGCTCCGGCCTTGAACGCTTTCTTGATGCTTCCAACGCCCTCTACGTTGAGGGTGGCGTTCCTTGGAACTGTAGAAAATTCCCACCAGCAACCCCCAAGTACTACCCATGTCTCACCACTTGTAGATGTGTCCATTTGGGGCAAGTACCCCGGCAACAGTGCGAGAACCCTTTGAGGACACTTTCTTCTTGGAAAGGGACCCAAAGCGCTCCCATGCTTGCTTGTGGCAGGATATATATATATATATCCAGGATTCGTCATGCATCCAACCCTCCTCTTGTCAAAGTATCTCCGCTTGAGGATAGTATCTACTTTCCGGGACCCTTGACAGCACAAAGCAGTTCATCCTTATTGACTCCTCATTTGATGCATAATCAGGGCTTCCCCTGCAGCAAGAGAAACTTGCAGCTGCAATGTACCAAAGAAAACAAACACATCCCCCAGCAAGCACGTGAACGTCCACTCATTTTGCAATTCTGGGACCATGTATGGCGCGCCTTCATTGGAGATGTGCCAACTCCTTCAATACGGGGGGTGGGAAGCTACAACATTCACGCCAACCATAGGAACGATAGGAAAATAACAGTGCTTGAATCGGGAACGACAACAACACAACAAGATTGAAAAAACAGCAATTTGATAACAAACGGTAGCAAGAACAACAATAAGACAAGCAGACAAAAACAGCTAAAGCAATGACTAAACAGCACTCAAACGGCCAGGTCGGAAGCCAACCAGAAGCCGCACAGGGTTCCTTGAAGGATACGTCCAGGCAGCGAATGAAGCAAGGATTCGGATCCTCGAACTCCGAGGGTTGGCTGACTTGTGGCCGTATGCAACAAACAGCTCCGATGTTTCAGCTGGTTTCGCCTTGGTGTCCCAAGCCGAGCTGACAAAAGGGGCCAAAAACACCCACCCCGAGTCCCTTGATTTCCCATGCTTGGGAAACCTAACAGGTAAAAAAAACGGCGCCCCCTTGGATTCCCAAGCTTGGGAAACCACACAAGTGTCCCGAAAAAAGGGTCCAACACACCAAACGGGTCCAACAAACACCACAAAAACACGGCGCCAGGTGGCTTCACCACCGTCTCGGTGTCCTCTACTCTGGCCACTGCACGCTCCTCTGCCTCCGCCGAGGCTTGGCCTCCAGGCATGGCACGTGCCTCAACCCTCAAGCTACCCAACCATACGCTGATTGCGAGAAAAAAACGGTTGGTGAGTTGGTTTTCCTTTTATTTTAGGGCTTGAGGGTCCAGGTGTTCAGATTCTGCAAAAAAACATGCTAGTTCATGCCAATACTAACAAATCCTTTGGGATGTGTCTTAGCATGCCAATATAATACCACACACACTTTGCTCCTAGTTATACATGTAGTTCTTAGATTGCGGTTCAAGTTTAGTCCACCCGAAAAAGAAAAAAACAAAACCAAATACACAACACATGGACAACTTGGTTTGTCGCCTTGGTCCAACCGCAGCTTTGGGTTGCCGCCCCGGCGCCCCACCAGCCCAAACGCCAAGGCGCCATGCCCGGTCTGCTTCAGCTTCACCAGGACTCCTGCGCGGCCATGGGATGGCGATGCCGCTACCCCAAAGTGCCACATGGCGGTGCCATGGTTTGCCCTGGGCAAAGAGCAGAGGGCATGAGTAGCCTCCATTTGGCTAAGACCCCTGGAAAAAAAACAAATCCGGTAGTGATAAGTTCCATTTAAAACCAGCAAGGGAAAATAACATATTCTTAAACAACTGGAAGTTAGTTGTGCTGGGTATGGAAACCGGAAAACGGGTGGGCTTCTTGTTTGGAAGCAACCCCAAAGGACACGGACCCCAAAGCAAAATACACACAGAGCTTGCGGTGCTAGAAGATCCCATCTGATTGGCGCTTCCATTCCCCACAATCGACAAACAAGAAATCCAGCACTGTCTAGATGCGACCCCAATGGCCAACTGAGTAGCTGCATCCACTACTTGAGAAACACGAGGAATCAAATCACGACGCCTTTGTTGTGTAATCACTTGACACCACAAGCAAACGACAGGCCTCGCAGTTATGGATATGAAAACGTAGAGTTCACATACCAGTAGCACATAAAGGAGTATGTATTCCTGGCCCGGGGGCATGCCTGGAGTTGCACTTGCCCTCTGAGCTGGCAATCAAAGGTTTCTAGCTTGGAAGATGACTAGCCAACACAAGGGAAACCGAGACGGCGTTGTTGCCTCCCTGAAAGAAAAGAAACATGGTTGCTGGGAAAGAAAAACACAAGCTTTGCCTAACCAAATGTCTGCCCCGCGGTCATATCTAGGCTCGGATTGAACTGGGAGCTGAACAGTGTACGTGTTGACTGCAATCTCCACTCACTTTCCTTGTCAATCCGCCGGTCCTGCTTCGCCCTTGGCCCGCTCTGTCCTGCGGCGCTTCGCCCAAGGCATGTGGACGCTTCTTTCTGAAATTCCAACAAGCTCTCTAAAACCTTAGCCTCTGGATGAAAGATGCAAAGAACCTTCCCCAGCCTCTCGTGGACCCACTGTACTCTGGTTCGGTAAACTACACAAACTGGGCAGAGACTGAGGCTTCAAACCAAGCCAGGCACTGCTCCAAGTCCAAATCTGGTTTGATGTTTTTTTTGGGAACCCCGAGGACTGCTGATAATCTCAAAAAGGGCACAACTTTGATAGCTACACATGGCTCACCTAAACAATCGGAAACAGAGGGTGGCGGATCTTTGGCTTCTCAACACCATCTCAGGGGCCCCCAGTTTCTTTTGTCGTCCAACGTGTCAAGCTTCTCGAAGACCAAAACCTAGCAATGTTCAGGCAGTCTGCGCCTAAAACTGGCTACTCCACGAACCAACGAGACACACATACACGCAGGTTTCTCTACTTCGAGCAATCACCACCTGCTATTCGCCTTCGCCTAGAAACTGGCCGCCTGGTCCGATTTGTCACCCGCAGACTTGACTTGTGAGAGCCCCACAGGCGGCGTTTTTTGAGCCACTGGCCTGGGTTGAAACACCTCCAAAGCTATTTGGGCTGGTCTGGCAGCACTGCCGTAGCGGACATGGCTTGACATGGAACCCAGAGGGATCTGGCCACCGGAATCAACATTGACAAACAAACAAGCAAACAAACAAGCAATCAAACACACAAACAAGCAAACAAAAGCAAGCACACAAACAAAACAAACAAACAAGCGGCCATCCAAGCAATATATCAAAGCAAGCAAGCAAGCAAGCAAGCAAGCAAGCAAGCAAGCAAGCAAACAGACTGACAAACTGACACCTCTACGCATAAATCTAACAGCATGCTCACCGACAACACGATAGTACACCAAACCATGCACAAACGACAACAAACCAAGACACCATCCGATGCGTGCTGTTCTTACACTACTCGATTGGCCAACAAGATGTCATACTGGTGTGTTGCTCTTACCCCAAAAAGTGCCCATACAAAGTAGACGTAAAACCGGTTGGTGGCCGAAACCCGAAAGAAAAAAACAAAACGGTGACCAAAAGGTCCCAGGCTCCCCTCGAGCGTGCGGCGTTTTGGGGCGCGTCCTGGTGGCGTTGGCGATCTTTGTGGCCGATGCCGAGCCGTCGCTCTTGGCCACCGCGGTGGCCTCCTGCGAGACCGACGAGCGGATGTCCGCTCCAACGAGCAACGAAGCAACGGCCGGGCGCGTCTGGTTTTAAGGGTAGGGTACCCCGCGGTTGTTGTGGTGCGAAAGGAAAACCAACAGGAAAATGGGAAGGGGGGGAAAACGATTTGGTGCAACTCATGTTGAGACGGGCACGAAGGTGATCACTTGTTGAAACCGAGCATGGACCAATGTGGGTGTGTCTTATTGAGTGCCCTTTTCGGGGTTGGATTGAAAGGGGAACCAAAGGCAAACTGAAGCCTGGTCTATTTTGACAAATATCCGTATTATTGAGTCTGGTCCATATGTGAACGTAACAAATACAGCATCATGTCAAACTTGGTCGACTGACCCGGGCCCCTAGTCAAGGAGCGAGCAAATAGCTTCCCCCGCAACGGCCTCCTATGACAAGGAAATAGAAAGACCCCACATTCGGCACCTGGTTTCTACACGAACCTGAAGGTCTAATCTAAGTTGCAACAAAGTCTTGCTATGTAAATAATTAAATACGGGTGGGTCTGTTTGTCTTTTCAGGATACCCACCAGTTGGTGCTTTAAAGGGAGACCAAAAGGAAACCCACCAGTTTCGGGGGTCCTCTGAATCACGTGTGCCACTCGGATGCGAGCGGAAAGCCGGGGAGCGAAAAACCGGGCGCTAGTTGATAAAGTGAAAAGGTGAAGCAGAATTCGGAACTCCAGGTGATGCAAATGCCCGCGGTCAATATCCATTGGGTCCTTCTATGAGTATGACAAGGGAATTTGCAGGGGATCCTTCGGTGTTTGATGATGATTTGTGGTAGGTGCACCCTTCGTCAACCCTGGTTGCAGAACATGATCTGCCAAATCTACAATCATAAGCCTGAAATAAGGGATCCCCAGCTGAAGTCTCCAGCAAACGACCTGCACCATGGCGCCCTCAAATCGGTAAGATCAGAACCAAACAAATATTCAGCAGATGAGCTTCGACCGTTGGTGTGTGGATCAAACATGTAGGTGTCCCTGCAAAAGGTCGGCCCTTTTGGTGCCTTGGCTCAGTGGTTGTCAATTCCATTGGCCTTGTGGCGGTGGTTTAGTGGACCCGTCTGAGAGCAATGCTTCGAGCATACCCGAGATGAGCGAGCCCAGCTAAGTGGAGCTAATTCCAACTCGACTGAAGAGCCAACCAAAGGCCAAAGGAAAAGGAATTTAGAGGGCTGGAATCAACGGAGCAACTGGGAAAAGGGCGAAAAGTCGCTTTTGAGCAAAGTAACGTCAATAATGCTGCCACGCTACCAAGTCACCATTCTCGTCCTTCTTCGCTTCTGCGGTTGCCACCGCCTGCAACCATGCAAGGCACAAAGCGCGGCTGGATCGCGAAGGTGTGACAATGCGATGCTCCGCTTGCTTGACATGGCCATGAAACCTGAATGCTTGTCTCTTGGCTCAGCTCAAATTTCACCTCTGCACGGGACAAATAGACTGACAGCTGCCTTGTAGGTAGCTGTAGCCCTGTCTTTCGCCTCTGCATAAGCCTCAGTGGCCAATGACGCAAAGCCGGGTGCCCTCGGCTGCTAACCAAACCAATTCGCGTGTGTCAGGAAATCTCAGGGTAGATGCTTGGGTGCTGTGGATCCCCCAGCAAAAGTTTGAGTTTTTGCAGGTTGAAGAAGTTAAAGTCTAATGATCCAACCCAATAGCGGTAGAGGATCCAATTGAAGCCGCAGGGTCCAGTATCCAACCTTTCACCCTATCCACAGGGTCGCCTTGTCTACCAAAGCACCCGGAGCCAAAAGGGCGGATATCAGCACCCGTCGTTTGGGTGTGTCAACTTTTTTCGGGGGAAACCGCTTGTGGTTGGTCGAGTCAAGGAAACCAAGCATTCTTGAGGCTCCCATATTCTAGGACACACCTATTTAAGCTGTCCCTGCCGAGTCGTGCCGCCTAAGTTTGTACCAAACAGGGGCCCTAGTTTTGCCAGCCACAAGGCAAACCCTTCGTTTGCCAAGGCACCGTGTAGGTGGCTTCCGCATACGCCGTGGCATGGTAGCTGGCGTTCGCTTCAGCTTGCACCTGCGGAACCCGGTAGATTCTGTGAAGGCTGCTTTGCCATGTTATGTTCATTCCTGTCCAAACGCTTGTCACGAAAGCTCCCAGGCTGCAGAGCCATGCGGAAAAAAAGGGACGCGGGGCCATCCTGTCAACTTGATTCTTCAAAAGGCACCCCTTGCCAACAGGAACGGATTCGGAGCCCGACAGAAGGTCCAACAGGAAAAAACATCCCTTTAGCAACCCTGATGTCAATGTGTTGAGCTGCCTAGTCTGGATCCCTACAATGACTAATTATTGAGGCAGCCAAGTCTGATTCCAATCACTAAAGACATCGTTCCCACAACCACTGAATCAATGGCAGCCTCTAAGGTCGCTGAGGGGTGTGCGTCACTGAGAAGGCTTAAGAAGAAGAACTCCCTCCAGTAGGTTTCACGTCGGGATCGTTCTCAAGTCAGAAACACGGGGATCCTCTCCTTTGACACATACCCGCAAGATTTAACAGTCGCCAAAGACGCACTAAGGTTTGTCCAACGCCCTAAGCTCTTTACAGCTTTAACTCAAATGTGGGTCGTCTTTCTCCACATTGGCGGGTACCCTCAAACAAACACAGCGTGCTCCCAATTTGTCGTTTTGAATCAACCCCAGAAAAGGCGCCCCGAAAAAAACAAACCCACGCGATTTCTTGCTGGCATCTTGCGAACTGGGCCAGGTTTCCCCTGTATTTAATGGTACCTGCTGTGTTGTTGACTAGGACAAGCAAAACAACACAAGACCTAGCTGGGCGCAGACCAGCCAGCCCTGCTGTTTCAAAAGTCCTTTCCAAAGCTTAAGGAATCCGGGGCAAAAACCGAATCAGCAAACTGTTCAGGGGTCACTGGATGTCCCGATCGCCACTTTCGGAGGTTCCGGAAGGGGAAAAAGAGGGAACCCTACATCTGCCCCTTTGTTGTTTGGCGTTTGGTGCAGCTCAAAAGGACCGAAGGCAAGCCGCCCGCCTCTGCCACAGCTTGGCGACGAGACTTGGCAGTGGCACTGGCGTTGGCCTTGGCCTGAGGGGAGGCCGGGTCTCTTGCTAATGTTGACCCAGGAATAATAAGCCCGTCCCATGATTAGGGGGGTGCTCCCTCCAAAAGTGATGAATCCCAACTGAAAGGGGACACCCTATTAATCAACCAGGGGTGCAGTAATCCGGGGTGAACATTAAACTTCCCCAACGAATCGGTGGGTTTTTCCTTTTGGTGTCCCTTCAGAAGTTGAAACGTGCACTCAAAAAAATAGAGCTCTATCCCCTAAAAGGACAACTTTTGGAACCCAGCTCGATCGAACCACTCCGGAGCTGTTTGTGCAACCCCAAAGCGTTCTGGGGGAAAAGTAGGGTAGTTGGTGTAGGGGATACAATCAATTGAAAACCCCAGGGGACCTACCCACTATGCTCCACTTGGCTTCGATATGTGGAACCAAGCAAAAAAAAAAGAAAACAAGTCCCGTGGAAGCGAACTGGATGACCCAAAACAATCAAGGGAACAAGGTGGAAACCTCGTGAGTTACCCATGGTTTGTGGTACCGGGTACTTGCAATAATATGGCGAGCAAGGGGCATACGGATTTGTTCCCAATGGCGCTTTAGTCACATCTAAAGGGCCGGGGATTCATGTCCAATCGACGCAAACGCCTGTTCCCCACTCTTTTCGGGCCGTGTTTGGTGGAAACCAATGGAGCTTTTTCGGGCAATCCACTAAAAGGGGCACAGGGAATCCGGCCTGGTCTACGGAGCATGCACGAGCCATGGTCAATATTAGTTTTGTGTCCTATTGCCAGGGAATTTGAGTGGACCTCGGCGGTTGATGGTAACGGTTACCGACCCACCCCGCGCCTCTACCTGGGTGCAAAAGGGGCCCGGCTGTTTTTGAGCGGTGGGCAAACGTATAAGTCTGGCAATGCATTCAACCAGCAACCTGACCAAAATGGTTGCGTCAACTGGAGACGCTGCTGCGGTGAGAGAAGCCACACGCCAAGCCGCCAAGCGCGCAAAGCGAAACCATGGAAAACCCTTCAAGTCTCTACCCAAAGGTTTTGATCCTCTACGAGCCTAAAACAATCAAGCAACGACATGCGCCTGAAGGACATTGTCCCCGCCTTCTGAGTCGCGTTTGCGATCACCTGGCTCAAAACGTGAAAAAGCGCGACCAAAACCCGACTTGACGTTAGGGATCCATTTTCGCCTTTAGCCGGTGCAGGTGGCCTTTCCCCCCCGCCCCCGGTAAGAGTATCTCTCTTGTACCCACAGACGGAACATACGAGTCTTTTGTTTGAGTTTTGAGAGGAACATAAATGGGGTCCGCTAAAACAAGACACACCCAGACGGGGAAGGGATTTGTCCCGCTGTCTTCCATACATGAAATGAGAGGGACCCGCTGTAAAAGGGCTGCCGTTTTAAGATCCGTCCAAAGGGGCGATTCTCAAAATCGACCCCTTTTTGGTTCACATTTAAGGGGAATAGAAAGAATCCAACCAGTCTTTGCCAAACCCGTTTTGAAGGAAACTTAACAAAAGGGAAACCTTTGGAAACCATTTTGGGCGATCAATTCCAATTTTGAACACCTCATCTGGCACCCTTTTGGCTCCGGCCTCGAGGGTCGTGTTCAGCTTCGCCTCGATGATACGTGTGCTGCGGTCCCGCACCGTCAAGGCCGGCACGGTGACCTGCCACTTGCCCAACAAAACAAAACAACTCATCTATCTGCAGTACTTGCTGAAAAGTTGCCAAGGAGATTACCTCCATTTGCTTAAGTCCCTTGGAAAAAATGAGCACGTATTTGCAGTAGTGACAGATTCCTTTTAAAACCAACAGGGGACAATAAAACAACTCATCTGCAAATGTTGCGATCATTCCAAAAGTTTAAGTAAGAATGGGATCCCCAAGGACCTTTATCATGGTGTTCTACCCCCAGTGGGCTTGCTGAGGCAGCGCTCATTTGCGCTACTTGCCAAACAACTGCCAAGGAGATTAGGGGTTTGCATCTGCTTCTTGCTTTGCAATAAGTATGCCCCCTACCTGAAGGGTGAGCGTGGTGGGGTCGCCCAACTCCGTCCTTATAGGCTTCCACACGCAAGGGAAGATGAAGTATACGAGGATCCCTCACCACGGCTCATGTCTTGAACATTGCAAGTAAATCGACCACGCTCGACCACAAGGCCATGTCGAAACTCGTCTGCTTCTTGCTCGCAATATTTGGGGAATCCCCCAATAGTACAGGATCTTACGAGCGAGGGAGTTTTAGGGCTTCCCCACATCCGCTTTTGCAGAGGTCCTTCAAGGCTCGCAAAGGCAATGAGCTCACTATATGGGCCTCTGTCTTTTTAAAGGGTACCCTTTTGGTGGCTCGTTTAAAGGGAAACCAGAAGGAAACCAACCATTTTGGGGGCTCCATCTATCACAAGGTGACGCCTCGGGATGTGCTTAAGCCCCTGCAACAAATGAGAAGCTATGTCCAAGAGTGATAGGTTTCCTTTAAAAGGGAAACACAATTAAATTTTCGCTTCAGCAAATGGAAGTAATTCACAAACCGTTCTTATCTCACTTCCTGGACATGAATTATAAAGACACACCCAGCCTTCGCTCGCCGCCTCTCCGCGCCAAGTCTCACTTCGCGCCTTCACCGTGACGCACATCTTGGGCTCGCGCCGCCCGAAGCCATCCAGGTCCTCGCCCGCAAATGGCTTGGGGGATCAGGGCTGTGGGAAATGGAATCCACCTTACGGCAGAAATGGCCATGGGTCAAAATCCAAATCCCCAGTGAACATCCCAACCCCCACTAAAATAGACTAAAATGGGTGGTGCACCCAAAATGGTACCATTGGTTCTGATCCACAGCCAAATGGCTTCCCAACAAACCAAGCTTCATGTAAAGGGGGAGATTCCCAAAAGTATCACGGAAGCGGGGGATAAACCCCTTGATCCCACAACCCGAGGTGGATGAATCTAATCTGAGTCTGCGGCATCCATGCCATGGACACTGGGAGGGCAGTTTGCTGCCAATAAATTTGGCACCTGGTACTAAACTTGCTGGTGCTGAATAGGGAATGACTGTTCGGGGTCTTCGGAATGAACCTGGGGATTCCCTTGAAGGAAACCATACAAGATGGTTTATAGGGTCATTCACCCATCCCTGCGTCCTTGAGTGTACAGGGCTTGTTGCCGCTGCACATAAATGGAAATGTACACCGTGTCTGCCCGCCCGAGGCGGTGGCCTTGCGCAAAAGAAAGGGGGGAAAAGCAACCACCCCGACAAACCCCAAACAACCCCAGAGAAAAGGGGGGCCAAACCAAACGGAAAACACCCCAAAGAAGGAAACAGCCTCACCGCCCACCGCCCCGCAGCAGGGAGAGCACGTTGTTTCCGCTTCGCGGGGGAATGGCAATCGGGCTCCAAGTGGCCTCGGCAAACTTCGCCTTTGGCGATGCCTGAAGCAGTTGAGTCGGCCTGAAAGGCATGCAAGAGCTGACCCGGCCACTGGGGAAACCGCAGGTGGTCCAGTGGGGGTGTCTCTCCTGCAGTTCTCTAGCAAGAAGTATGGCTTGGTCCCACGAAGTTTTCTCTAAGTAAAAGGGCACGACCGCCCACTTGATCTCAGCGTCAAGTGGGGCGACGGGCTTAATTTTCTTGAAGAATTTAAGGAACCCGGGGATGACTTCCCTGCCAAGCGATTCGCTAAGGAGCCTTACTACTATAAGTAGTGTATTGGCCTGACGCCTAACGCTTTGATCGTTATTCTTAATCCAGAACCAAGTGTTATGGTCACGTGTGGGCATGGATCTGCCGGAATGCAAAAAGAAGAGGAGACCTATAAAAATCAGAGGAGTACCACTCCCAGGTTGGGCAGGCCTATCGTTCCATTGCAATTTTGAAAGGAGGGTGCAAAAACTCCAAACAAAGTCGGCAGGGAAAACAGATTTGGTGGAGTGAAGGTTACCGCAATCAATGAAAGCGTCCGAGCCAGGGTTCCCAACAGTCTCGGCGAGGTTATCAACCGTATTGGGAGCGTTATGCCTGTCAGTTTTATGGGCAAAGACTTTGGCAACCTTGACATGCAGGTCAGCAAGCTCGTTCCACTCCTTGAGTCTGCTGGACTCCTCGGCGACACCCTGGATTGCGAGTCGCCGGGTGGCTTCGTCCCAAAGGTAATATGCTTCGTTGGCCTCACTGTCAGCTAATGCATTGCCACGTATCCGAAAGGCGTCTGATCCAGAGATGGCAGAGGCAAGATCCCTGTCAGCTTTGACCCACTGGATATTTACTTCGTTGACAGATCTGGAGCCTATCGTTCTGTGGGCAAGGGCAAGTAGGTCCGAGTTGGGCCTAGTGCCAAGGTCATCAGTCCATCCTTGCGTGAGGAGCAGGTGAAAATACTCAGCGGCGTACTTGGAGTCAGTGAAGATGTCACAGGAGTGACAGCGCTGCAAAACTCCTATTATCGCATAAAGTTCACCTCTGTCGGACCCCAGCGAAAGAGACAATCCGTGAACCACGTGAGTCGTGGTCCAGGTGGTCTAGGGACAAAGTCAGGGTCTGGCACATTCTGAATGGTAGTCCAAAACTCGGCATAAGAGAGCAAGGGCAGATGATCTGCCCTTGCTTCTGCAGTGGCTGGGCACTCAGTGAGGCGGTGGTCTCTCGTGTCCGGGTAACCGCAGTGAGCGCATTTCTCATCGAATTTGGGATTATATCTGGCAATTTCGGCATTTTCGAATCTGGCGCCAGAAGCGGCTACCCGGACCAGACCTTGGTGTTCCTCGGTCAGGCTCGCACGTCCTTTTCTAAAAAGATGGGCATCAATTGTTCCTACTTGACTTAAAACTTTTCGGTGCGAGAGGTATAGACCCTCGGCCCTATGAAATCCGTAAACGAGTGAGCGGTAGACCGTCCTCCAGGGGCTGGTACTTAGCTCAATCAGTCCAAACGGAGTCACAAGATTAAGATCAAGGTCAAGATCAAGGTCGCATGCGGCTAATGCCTCTCCTAGCAGGCTGATAGGCCCGTCACCAGGTTGGACAAGCTGCGCAGCCCACATTTGGCTGAGGTCATGCCTGCTGCTTTCTGGACCGCGCAGCCATTTCCAGAAGGAGTGAATCCTATGGTGGTGAATGGCAAAGGCGGGGTGAGTGCCCTCCTCATTAATTACTGCCAGAGCAACATAAGGGGACGAACCCGCATGGCCAAGGCCGACAGCTGTTTTGGCAGCTGCAAGGCTGTCTATGCGTTTTTTCCCTAGTCTGGTCAACTGGAGACCCCAAATTGCCTTGGGCAGGGCGGCACGACGGGTGAGTCCAACTTTACGAGCAAACGGCGCAGGCAGCCTAGCAATTCTACCTAGTGTGGCTGTGGCTTCGTTCACCCGTTTTTGGACAGTTTTGTTCCGGACTGCCCTTGTGAAACTGAAGTGGCCCCCGAGTTCCCGGACATCGTAAACATGAGACGGCTTACCGAGGCAGAACTCAAACTTGCCAAGTTCTGAGCGTATGCTCGGGTCAGTCGACCAAATCGCACACTTGGCGGCGTTGATATGCAAATCCAACGCTGTGAGGAGTTTGGTCCCAAGTTCTAGGCCAGGAAGCAAATTTGCAATGCTATCACAACTGAGGTTGAAGTTATCAGCAAAACTATCAACTTCGAGTAGCGGCGAAGGCAAGCTGGTCACCCTGTGCCAGACTGTGCCAATTGCCAACATCGCAATGGGAGACATGGGGCATCCTTCTGGGAAGCCAGTGCACGATAGCACAGCCCTGCTGAGCGTGCCTGAAACCTTAGCCCGTCTATGAAGGCGAGACAAATTGCTACGCCAGGCTGAGATCAACCAATCGGCTCGCCCAAGACGCCCGAGGATAGCGAACGCAGCCTCTCTTGGAATGTAGTTGAAGGCCTTGGTAATGTGCAAGGACATTCCTAAGAGAGGACCGGCAAGTCCCTGGTGGGCTGCTTCTATGTCTAGGCTAAGGCCGTAAAGGAAGTCATCAAGGTGGCGTCCTGCCAGAAACCCTCTCATTTCTGCTGGCATGATTTTGGCAAGCCAAGATTGCATGGAAGACGCTCTTGCGGACATCCAGCATCTGTAGACGCACGACAGTACAGTGATGGGTCTACAATCATTTGACGAGCTTGGGTTAAGGCACTTTGCGGGCACAGCAGCTTGCGATGGATTTGCGCTCGGCTGGGCAATACCTGGTCCTGTCTGGATGACAACCGGTTGCCTTCCTGTGTCAAACCTGCGCTTTTCGCCAGGCTTCGGCACTTCCTGGATTAGAATGTCTCCGGTGATGTGCTGAATGCGGTCACATGCTGGTGCTTCCGCAGCTCCTACTCGGTATGCATGACGACCTACAGGCTTGAGCGGCCGCGCAGTCCACTTGACTGAAGCAAGGATCTGGCTAATCGTGTCCTGGTCACAACCTGCAGGGACGGGTTGCAAAATGAAGTGCCTTACGATTGGTACGTATCCGTCGCCCTGGGTGGCTTCAGGCACGATCTGCAGGCGTAGCTCGACTGCGTCCTTTGCGAGGACTCTGAGTCCGAAGATCTGTGCTTTGCCTGGGTTTTTGACTACGATGCCGCACTGAACCGGATGCATCTGAGCCTTGGCTTTGGCTTGATCATGCGAGTGGTCAGGTAGCCAGACTACGACCCAGCCCTGACGGGGATTATTCTCATCTGGAATGTCATCGACAAAGATGAGATTGCAACCCGAGTCCTTCCGGATCTGGTCCCCTACCTGGTCATTTACGCGAATCTTGAAAGTTATCTGAGAGCTTGTGGTTCTGTGCCCCCAGTAATCAAGAAGCATTTTGTGCTGGGTGGAGAGGGTGGGAATCCCGGCGATGGCTGAGCGCACTGGATGGGCAGTGAAGCCATTCCATTCTTGGCTGGTGTAATGCACACGATGCACAACAATCCGGAAGGCTCTACTTGCTGGTGGCATGACCTGACAAGCATTGGGAGAGGTGAACCTGACAACTTTGGCATCGCCTATTTGAACTAATGTTCCAAGCAAAACGATGCTGCCACCACTATCTTTGAGCTTGGCGGGCAGGCTGCACGTGGCTTTGGGAAAACCTGTGACAACCTGACCTTCTGCCTCAAGCACAAAAAGGGCGAGCGAGCCGAGAGGTTCTTGGATCCTTGCATGAAGGGAGAAGCTTGCTTGAGCGTGGCAACGCAAACTCCTGTGGCATCTGATACAACCTGAGGCAGCGTGAGGAAGTCGAGCCTTGTTCCCTGCTCGGTTACAAAGACATCGCTTTGGCACTGCAGATTGTCAATTTCAAGGCCTTTGGGGCCTGAAGAGTCAATTCCATGCTGGTGGTTCTGGTGAGGGCGCAACCAAGGGTCATTGTGCTGCAACGGATCAATGGCAGTGTTGGGCTTTGGAGCCTCGTTTTTCGCTCTCTTCTGCATTTTGATCTCATCACTGGTGACTAGCCTGAAGGTGGAACCTGCGGCTTCACACAACTGTGACCATCTTTGCTTGGCAGTGGTCTGCTTGAGAGCGGCTTCAACTTGAGCGTTGGAAGCAATCTGGAGCAACCCTTGAATGCGGTCACTGATTGCATGTTCAGGGACCCCCTTGAGGGTGAGAATGCTCTGAAGCTCCTTTGTGGCTTTTGCAGGGAGACCACCTCCTAGCTGGGGCTCAGGAGGATGGCCAGCGGCATACTGTGCACAGAAGGATGTTGCAAGCTGAACACTGGCTCGGACTTCACTGATGCTGGGGTGGTTCCCTTGGGCAATTGCGAGAACAACGGGAAGGCACGGCCCACACTGACCTGGCTGCTCTTGAATGTCACACGCAAACTCAAGACTTTCCTCAGCAAGGTGCTCACTGTGGCTTGGCTGTCCGGCATGCCAAATTTGGCAGGACTCGCTTGATGCATATGCAATCCAGCACCAATGGTACCAGAAGAGGTCATCAAACCAGACACCAATGTTCCCCTCATGTTCAACTAGTGGCCCAATAGGGGAAACACGGAGCAATGCAACAATGGTGCATTTACCGAATCCATCACAGGTTGACTCAACAGGTCGAGGCGGATCCCACACACTGACACAGTGGGAGCCAATGCCAATGGAGCTGACTGGCGTGGAGCCAGAAAGCTCGCATCCCTGAATGATAAGGATGGCATGCTCGGTGCATAGGCCGAGCTCCCAAAGCCTCTGATGAACTGCGGCAACGGCTTCACTTCCACTGGACGTACTGAAAAGTGAAGTTCCTACCGATCAGCAAAAGGCAAATCCTTCCAACAGTCGGGCAAGGGATTGGGTTGACACGACCGTTCAAACACAAGGCAAGGGCGAGTGCAAGAATGTCAGCATGAACTACAGCGGGGGCGTTCCCAAGGAGAGGAAGGGTCTTGCGGACTGAGGTGTCCCAAGGCAGCCCCCCTTTGCCCCCAGCAGCTCTCCAAACCTCATCATGATGGAGAAACCTCGGCCTACTGGGATCATCCGAGTGAACAATGTCCTGCAAGCACTTCTGCTCAAGAGATGCTTGGGCGAATCCATGCAAGCGACATCCACAAGGGCAACCCCGAAAATGGTTGGTGGCCGAATGCAGTGGCCGTCTCAGTTTTGAGCTACCGTGCACATATGAAACACCAGCATGTTGAAACTGAAGATAAACTATCTCTTCATCCTTCAGCAACAAGTCGTTCCAAGTGGCCTCATTGAAGTCACTGCGTTTCCAAGGCAGACCAAGTTCACCTAGCGTGCGTGCAACTGTGGGAACTGAGGGAATAGCATTGGGCACGGTACCTGCCAAGACTGCGATCCATCTGATTCCAGACATGGGGATGATAGTGCTGAGGCTGTGGATTTGCTCCGTACAACCCCACTGCATGCTGGATTCAAGCCAACGGAGTATGGCTCTGGTGATGGGGTGCTTACCTGCTTCTGCGACACATTCGAGGCCAAGTGCTGACCAACATTCCAGGTAGGCCGCAATGGCGATATGCCCGAGCGCGTGGCCTCGAGTATCTGCGAAACCTCCCTTCTTTCCACATTGGCTGAAGGGCTGACATGGATATCCAGCGACACACCAACCGATCTCAATTCGAATTTGGTGTACGAGGCTGGATCTGCAAAAGAAGGGGGTCTTGATCCTTTTGACACAGTGCTTAAGCAAATGATGCTGCAAAGGCAAGTCAGAATGCTCAATGGCACAGGCAATTTCAAAACCATACTGATGCAGAGATTTCGCAAACACTCCAACTCCTGCATAGGCATCGAGTCCCACAGTGCCTGAACCGGCTGGACCAATGCACTCAGTGTCACAGTTCCTGGCCAAAACCCAAGGTTGACCCGGAATGATGACCTGTCCGCCAATGACTACCAGTTGATCGCAGTGCGGGAAGTCCTCCTTTGCGCAAACCAAAACAGATCCCCGTGGCTGGATGTCTCCAATTATCCACGAGTGGCTTCCAACTCTGGCTGTAGCCTTGACCTTCATACGGAAATCGACCTGTGGGAGCGTCCATTCAGGGAGAACAGCACGAAACAACCCAGGAAAAACGTTTTCCGGTGTGCGTAAGGCTTCATCCAGGTTCAATCGTATCTGGTCATCGGCACTTGGTCTAGTCATGGAAGGCGCAACAAAGCTATCCCAAATCTCGACCAAGCTGTGTCCAATAACAGATGTCGGGCAGATAGGATCACCATGATTCGCTCCAAGCTGAGTCAGCTGAAGAGCGCGGCGAAGGTCAAAACTCATCTGTGTCCAGCCCTCCGGAAGAGGGATGTCCGGCTCGGATAATGGGATGTGCACAGCCATGGCGGTCACTCAGATGTGGTGCCTGTGTAAATTCACTCTCGGTGAGCTTCCCTCCTTGACCCCGTTCCAACGTGAAAGTGTCACTTTGAAACTTTTGAAAAATGGAAAACTTGGCCATTACACAGCCGTCACAAGTCGCCGAGAGACAGCTGTTCCACGGTACAACGCTCTCGACGACCTTTTGGAGGGTCTAGCCGCGGATCCTTCCGATCGCGAAATCGGAGATGGCTCGCATCGCCAGCACTCGCTTCACCTGCTCTTTCGTCCGGGCAGTTGACATCGTAGTCCAGCTTTGCATCCTTTTCAAGGACGGTCGAGCCCAGATGGCCTCCTAGAATAAGGAAGACGACATGCAGCACATCAGCTATCTCTGTCTCATCAACCTGGACGTACACGCATTCCGTCTCCTTCGTGACGTAGCTGTACAGTAACCCTCGCGCGCAGACCTTAACTCTCCCGAGTCTTCCGGTCGAGTATGCCTCGTCGGCTGTGAACCTGATGTGCTTCACGCTTTTGATCGCCTCCTTAATGGCAATCGTGACACGAGATGCTTTTGCCGACTCTTGCTCGATCTCCTTCGTGAGCGCGAGCGGCCAGGATCGGTGAGCCATGTCTTCTGTGATGAAAGCGAGAAAGCGCGATGGGAAAGAGTTACGTAGTTCTTGATTGCGACTGATCCAGGGCGTCTTGAGCCAAAATGGCTACGGAACCTGCTGAGAACCAGCAACTAAGGAGGTCTACCCAACATGTAAAGAAGCAGAGGCCGGCCGCACCTATTTATCATTGGGACTCTCCTTTACTAGCCTTCATCTACCCAGGTATACATTGTGGTGACCGTCCACAAGGGAGTTTTCATTTTTGGAAAATAGCCACATGTCTTATGGTCAATCCACCCTTTTGTTTTGGGTTGGTACAAATGGTAAAGAAGCCCTTAGGGATTATAGGCAACCAACTTATATTGCGGGAATCATGACAATGACAAATACATGCGGAGCTTTGACATTGTCAAACATGGTCATATGATCACAGGACGTGATGGAAACCTGGAGCAACTCTTTGGACAATGTAACGCAAGTTGAAGCAATTACTTACTCCAATACAACGTAACTAGGTCCTCCAGTAGAGAGGTTAAGGGTACCCTGTTTTTTCTGTAGTCTGTTTTAGTAGGGGAACCCTCCCCCAAAAAAGGGTAAAAGGGCACTACTGGGGGACCTAGTTGACATGAAACCCACACAGGTGGTCCCCCAAAAAGGAGATCCGTAGAAAGGCTGGCTTTGGCTTTCTCGGTTCCATGCTTAGCTGCAGATGATCAAAGAATATGTCTTGGACGGATTGAACATGAACCAATTGCAGACTCTTGGCGTGTGATGCCTTCCAACAGCTCCGATGCTTGGAACCATCCTTTTCTGTAATGGCAAATCGGGATTTGTTCAAAGGGACTTGGACATAATTCACAAGACAACCTGTTGGGACCTTGACTTGACAGGGATCTTAAAGAGACCAACTGGTGAAAAGGTCGGCTTTGGACAACTAAGCTTTAAAGAGGATTCTTTTCGTACCAAAAAAAGTTGCTCTACAGCCCTATTGCCTCAACCCCAATTTGAAATGGCTAATCACATGTCAACGTTGGTGGCAATGGGAGGTACGATGTCTGTGTGTGTAAACCGGGATGTTTGATTTGTCGGTTTGTTGGCAGTATTGCCTAGCGTCACGATCGCGTGGCAGTGCAGCTTTGCTCATGCAGCATTCGCAAGCAGACTTTGAAGGTCCTCATTCACCAACAAGAGAATCCCTGGTGCCGTCCAAGGTGAAGTTAAACAACTGGATACCAAGAAAGGGCCCAAAAAATGGACGGCCCCCGCTGTAAGCTCACTGGATCTATACATTCCAAACATAACTTAACAAACTGGACGAATTGCCAGATTTTGGCTACCTGAATCTAGCAATCCTCCGAGAAACCAATTTGCCCAAAGCCTGCCGTACATGATTGAACCGCTGTTGAAACTAACCTCCTGTTGGTTTCCCTGCGTCCTTTCTTGGGTCGTCTCAGATTCTGCAACTCGAAACCATCTCCTGCGGGTTGGCGTCTGCGATGTCGGAGCCCTTGTGACCCCACTCCTGGCGCATGCCGATGCACTCCGGGATTCTGGAAAAATCGCTTCAACTCAGTTGCCCCCAAAGCGGACCCAGAAAATACAAGGTGATCACCTTTTGCGGCCATGACAAAAAATGGGTATACCACATCAGGACAACCAACACGTCATAACTCCTATCATACCCGTTTTGGGCTCAACGGACAAGTGCCCTCCACCAAGCAACATGGAAACTTTCCTTTTAAAGGGATCCCTGTCAGGTTCTATGTCAATTGGTGGGAGGGTAGTTCAGTTCAACAATCCATTTTCTCACTCCCACATTAAATGTGCCTTTGAACAAGTCAATAAACCAGCTTGCCTCTAAATGGAAAATGAAGGCGAGGATTCCAACCTATGCCCAGGACATAGAAAACCTTTCGGGTATGAACCCCGTATTGAAAGACTGCAAACGGGTTCAAACGGGTTTCAACCTATTTTGAAGCAGGATCCCTTACGTATACGTCCCCCATAAACATCACCTCACACAAATCGCAAACCACTAAAAGAGGGACATATCATAAGAACCCTCACCCCACCCTTGTTCCATGGTGCACCCCCAAACCTTGACAAGTCTGGGGTATCCCAAAAAATCAAATGCATTCCGTCCACCTCAACATCGCTTTGTCGTCGTTTAGGCCCCCCAAAAAACAGAGTCTCCCTTTAGATTGCTCCAAAGGAAAAAAACGATCGAGTCGAGTTGCCTCGAAGACCTCGGAATCCTCCCAGGGCTCTACCTCCGCGTCCTCGTCTTCCGCCTCCTCCTCCGGTTCGGTAACCAAATCTTTGCCATAGCCTTAGGGTTCAACCCCAATAAGAATGGTTGACCCAGTTTGGATGACAATCCTTACAGAATGGTGGCTTTGCGAACCCGCATTGTTTCTATATTTCATCGATTGGAGCCGAATTCTTTGCCATAGGAAGCAGCCCCCTACACCCATCTATTTTTTAGGGTATGGAGAGGTATGACGGCAAACCCTGAGTAAAAAAGGAATTACGTCCATGAATTTCCCTTCGAAAACCAGTTTCTTGAAACAATACAAAAAAGATACGGGTATCTGGTGCAGCGGCTATCGACCCTTTCTGAGTATGTGTGCCATGACCCTGACCAAATGTGTCAAAATCGAGCTTGGGTCAAACTTCAATTGTTCTAGATGGACATGTCTCAAACATAGGGATCTGGGCCCCCATAATTCCAATTGTTGTCCTTTTGGGAAACCCAGCCAACCAAGTTGGTAAACACAAGAGAACGAACACCATGGAAGGTATTCCAGGCGCCGCGTCCCAGGCATCCCGCGATTTGACCGGAAGAACGTTGAAATGGGATAGCGTGCCTCTGGTGAACAACCTGAAAACCAATCAAACTTCACTATGGCTTCCACAAAAGGGAACTACACATCTGAGTTTTTCGGCACCCAATAAAATCCAAATTGAATATAATCTTACTCTTAGCAGCCCTTTCACGTATTCGTTGTCTTTGCAGCTGTTTCGCGTTCCAATCGCAGGCCTTTCTAATGCAAGTGTGCCCTTTCGCAGCAGACCACCCTTTACATCGTTTACAGTTCGCAGTTTAGAACGGCTCCCAAACATACACACAATGCACTCGGCACTCGTGAAGTAGCGCCGAACAGCGCCAACACGGGTGCCGATGTTTGAGCTTGACAACCCCCAACGAAAATACCACATGCGAAGATCTTTTGTAAGGGCCCTTCGAGACCACTCACTTTGATAAACAACCTAAACTGTCACTTAAGTTTGTCAGTGAACAACTCACCCCATGTGAACAGGCCATCCTTGGACAACAAAACGTACGCAGTGCTGTGCTTTGGAATTCCAAAAAACATCTTGAAAGTCCTTATTGGGAAACCAGAGGGGGCCGGGGCCTTACTGCTTTTCGGTCACCGCTTGAATGACAATCCTTTCCTAAGCCAAAGACTAAAAACAATCTTAGCTACTTAGCTTTCAAAATCCATCCTTTTTCCACCAACAATCCTTTATCCTGGTTCTATCTGCACAGACATTTACACACCTATTGAATCCCCGAAGGACCTGCAGGCAATGCGTTTGAGCCCCGGCTCTCTGCGCTCTCTGTGAATAGTGGATGTTCTCCTAAGACTCTCTCGCGGGGACCTGAACAGTTGAGATACTGTTCAAATTGGGAAACCACTCATCATCTTGGAGCAATATGTGTGTAGGGACCCTTTTTTGGGTCGGTTTAAAGGAGTTTCTTTGAGAGGAAGCCTTTGTGGGTTGGTTTAGAGGAAAACCAAGAGGAACACCACCCTTGGAGTGCGCCTATATTCATATCCTAGTTTCAAGGGTTTCAGGTCCACCACTTTTGCCTCCATGCGCTTCAGGTCGCCGGAGCGGACGCAGTCCGCCAAATGCCTGGCGCCCAGAGGCTCCCAGGCATTTGCAAGGACCAGGACCTCAAAGGTCACATGGGTAGACCTCGCCTTCAGGAATCCCCAAAATGCCTTCAAAAATGCGCCCAGGGGCCCGTGCACTTTGGCTCGCATGTCACGCCCAATATGGTCAATTCACATTTGTTGCACCATTCCAATGAAATTGGATGTGGGGCGACTGTACCTTTCTTTGCTTATGTTTGCAACTCGATATACCCCTGGTGTCCCCTTCACTGGGTCCTTGCGGAGTTTTGGGACCTTGGCTAGAAATAGGCCAAAAACCAGCCGTTCTTGTTGAGCAAGTACACCACCACCCCTTCTCAATTGATTGGTGTGAACATGCTGCCAGCATCCCGGCTGGGTTGAGATCACCATCAGAGCTACTGGCACTGGGCCTGGGATGCGCTGCCTTGCCTTAGATCCCCATTCCTGTTGAGCGGGGTCCCCGGCCATTCGCCATACACCAGGCGTGCTCCGCCCCACAATCCAATTGACCCTCCGTACAACAAAATAGATCATGCCCATACGAGTACCTTTTGAACAATGAGCTTTCCATTTGGTTTCGCGGCGGAACAACCCCACAAGGACTACAAACCCATTTACGTTTGCATCTACGCATATGTACACGCATCTAAATGAATACATATTACAAATACCTGCATCTTCCAAAAGGTGCATAATTCAGCAGTTTCGGGCACAGGCATGTTTTCAGTTGAAACAGCGTATTTTGATACAAACTGCACTTTTCCTGTTTCAGCATTAGGGTGCATATTCGGGGTCACGTGGGCCTTGCTCTTCGTGCTCGTATGTTGGCTACAATGTACATAGTAATGCCGCACTTGAGTGCTACTTCCAAAAACCAGGCCTCTTGAGTACTGGAGGCATCCAGCGACTGTTTGAACGCGCAGAACTGGGTCACACACTATTTTTCTCCTGCTGCGCAGTGAAGGCCGCAATTGTGTCAAGCATCACGCACAGTTGGAGTGGTAAGATCTCCGCTGGTTTCAGAAATCACTCAACGTCAAATGTTCTTTGCTGAGTTCCTGAGACGATTTGCGACTAAGACTTGGCGCATGTTTGGCTTGAAGAGCTGTGATAACTTCATATGGGCAATTCTTGCATAGTGGTTAGAGGCACGCGAGGACAGAAGGCCAATCCACTTTGGGCTGGTTTGCATCCAAGCCAACAAGGTTAGAAGCGCGTGAAAGGAGGAAACATGAGGCAACTAAACCAACACGAAAAAATGTGTTGCTATGTAAGTTGCTACTTCAGCAGTTGCCGCCAGAGGCTGCTGGAAGGCCTTGCCTACTGCTGCACACACTTGCAAAGCGTCAATTTCTGAATTGCAACGGGGCTTGCCATTGCAGCTTTTAAAGGAACGGACAGCTGCGACGTCCAAATTTGCAAAAACGAAACGGCGATAATTTGCGGCCAAACGGCGATAATTAGCAGCCAAACGGCGTTTGTTGGCGAACCGAATTTATAGCGCTTTCCGGTTCATTTCACACGCTGTTGTATCGCAAATTATTGCAAGGAACGTTCTCGGACAGGAATGTCGCTGCCGCTTGCAGCTGTGGTCATTGCGTTGTCTACAGCCATTTTTGGCAAGAATATGTTTAAGCAGACACAACAAATTAGCTTAAACTTGAACTTATCCTTGCTGATGTTGGCACCGTCTCACGCCAATACGCTGTGATGTGATTGGTGTTTGTGGTGTGCTGAGAGGATGCAAGGGGTGATTGCGGCTCGTATCAAAAACATGAGGGGCCTTAAGCTACAGGTCTCAAAAGTCTTTCTGGGTGAGCGCTTCTTGAGACGTCAACGTGCAACAAAGTTGCACGTGATGCCTGGAATTCTCGCGAGGGTCTTGGTTCCAGATTTTTGGGGCTCTTGAACGCTACCATTGGCAGATTAATGGCACCATGCTTACACCAAATCCTGTGTGCGTGCTTCAACAAAGCAACTGGCTTTGCTCAGGGAGGCACAGCCGTGGCAGGAGTTAACCTGCTATCTGAAGCTTTTGTAGTAATGTCAAAATATTGGAACTCTACATGCGGTACCCTTCGCCACTCCCTTGTCCACACCAACTTGGGGCAATGACACAAAACTGCACTGTCAACATTGAAGGAAACCAAAAACATCGCCAAACGGCAAGCTTTGATTGAAACGGCTGAAATTTGTTGAAACGGCACTAATTTCTGCAGTTTGGCCAAACGGTAGAAATTACGTACCCTCGGAAGATCCAGGTATTCATATTTATTTACTTGTATATGTCGGCAGCCTATTGTGATTCACAAACCTGAAACGAAGAAAAATCCCTCGAGTAAGAAAGACCTAATGAGTGGCAAGGTCACAAACTTAACAAAGTAACAGCCATCAAACACGAAAACAGACTCACATAACGACAGCATTATTTTTTTGTTCCACAAATGGACGTGGGCAATTGGGTTGTCCCCGAATTTGGGCTGTCCGCCCATAGGTTATCTGCCTAGACTACAACCAGCATCATCAGTTGCTCACGGCAAGAAGGCAAGCCATCACTGCGCCTCTCCATACCGGTGGTGCAGTCATCATCTTTGGTGCAGTACTCACAGCTTGCCGGAGCAGTCGCTGTCCATCCTGCAGGGCGAATCAGCAAACTTCATGCAAGATCTTGAAAGTTGGGCTGTTAGATATGTCACAAATTGTTCAAACCTCCAAACATCTAACAAAATATGAGGGAATGGTTAGGAACTGCCATGTCACATGAACGTTACGTATGGCAGCTGGTCGATACGTCTGCTTCTCGAAAATGCCACCTGCGAGACTAAAAAAATCATTGTTTGGAGCCATTGCTGCTGATGCAACCCTGCTTGCAAACGCAACTCGTTGTTCACTTGCATGCAGAGTGAAAACAAAGCAGTCACTCATTTAGCCTTTCCACTTGCTCTTGCCGGGACTGCTCCATCCTGGGCCCAATGTCCGGTACCTTGCAAAAAACTCTAATTATGGGCTTTCGGATCTGCGCAAGGATGCAAGTAATGGTGTTGCACGTCTCCGTGTCTACAAGGGAGTTGGGCCTGCATGGTAGGTAGTTTCCTTGTGTTTTCTCTTAAACGCGTTCTCTGTACGTGTATATATATGTATATACGTATATATATATATATACATTGAGAAACCCCATAATATGTAAGCGTGCAAGCATGCCTCCAAGAAACTGCAGCTCAATTTCGGAAAAGACTCTTTCGCAGACTCCATCTTTCGCTGGCACAAACACATGCAGCGCTATGGTCCTCAACAGTATACGTCCTTAGGAGCTTGTGATCAACTCCATTTGGTAAAGGTATATATCCCTCCCGTCGCTTCATCAACCGCGCCCCTGCAAACAAAACGCGCACAAACAGCCCAACATTGGATCCATTGTACAGTGACATCCTGAGATTAAGCACTCCCAAACCCTCTGCCCAAGAAGTGTGTAACTGCACGGAAGGACTGTTTTAAGATCACTGTCTATGCGCCAAAACTCGCCAGTGCACTTCCATGATTTCCGACCATGTGTGGTACACAGGGCCCAACATTGACGACTATTCCCCGCTTGGAGTGCTTAGGGTTGTTAAATAGAGCATACGCTCTTCCCAGCAAGCATTGCATGGAAGCTGACAAAAGCCAAACTATCTTCAGTCCTCGTCAACTTGTCAACTTGCTCATGTCGCCTCGACGACTGTTGAACAATGGACATCAAACTATAATACCCTGAAGATGAACTTTGAACCCAATAAATCACAGTAGAGGGAATCTGCTTTGGCATAGAACTGTTGAATTCAAAAAGCCCAGAACAAGAAATGAGTGAGTATTAGCAATGCAGAAAGCAACGCTAGTACAACAAAAGCTCCTTTGTACTTGCCCGAGGACTCGTACTCGTCGGTCGCGTTCAGTCTGCGGTCGAGCACAGCTGTCTTCCAGAGCCTTTTCCATCCATCGTCTACGAACTTGATTGATCTGTGCCAAATATTAGGCGTAGTTCATCAGCCCAAATTCAGAAATCCGAAAGTACGGCGTCTTCAAAAGGAAAAGCTTGTTTGCCCATTGGAAAGTCCATTATACCAGGCGGATATTATGATACTGGATGAACATTTCATGCAAACTTGATGTGAGCTTCAGGCTCTAGTTTACGAGTTCGGGCCTCCCCACCCAGACTCGCCGGATGTGGGCATTCGTTCAGTGCGCGCCAATAGCACAACCCAGGCAATACCAAACTTGGTTTCTTTCTTAGGGGAACCCTCCCCAAAAAGAAAAACACGTGTTTCTCTTTTGGTATCCCAAAGAAACGCTTTTAGTGAGGAGCGGTGCGATTCTCGTGATCTGTTCATCTTGGCAGTGCGCCCGTGGGTTCTTGAAGCAGAGGTGAAGCTGCTGCAATAGGTATGACTCAAAATCGGGGAGCTTTCAAAGAACGTAAAACTCCTGTTGGTTTCCCAAGGGAGCCGTTTGGAAAAAGAAGAAGAAAAAACAACATGCGCACGAGCTTGGCCTTAGGCACTTGCACGTGACGGCTCCAAAACGGCCCAGGCTTTTGTAGGGTGGTTTTCCGAAGGGTGTCCCTCTCTCGTCAAGGATTGCTGGTTCTGATTCTCTTTGGGTGTACCGTGCCTTTTTGGGGGTACACGGTACACCCTTTTTGGCAGGATTGAAAGGACACCAACAAGAAACCAGCATACTAGTGGGTCCCTGGAAAAAACACACACACACACACACACCCATGTAGCTATGGCAAAAAGAACCGGGTAACCATAGCTGTCACCCAGGGATCACTGGATTTTCTCAAACGTTGGTCAACTTTCTGGTGGTTTCCATTGAACGATCGCCACTAAAGTGAGGCTCCAAAACAGCAAACGGAGGGATCCCTGCCCTATGGCGTGCGTGAGCCACGCCTCTTGCAGGCCAGCCCATCCTTGGCACCGGGTGACAAGCGGGAGTTGCTTACAATGATGATGCCTTTGGGTTGGTTTTCTGAAGGGACACACTCACGTAGGATCGAGTGGATTGGCCAAACAGTCCAAATCTTGTATTTACGACTCAATTGGTCTTTCCAAAAAGCTTAAAGTCCAGGAACTCAGGAAATGAGCACCAGCCCACTTTAGGTGATCACTGTTTGGAGACCCCTTTTGTGGTCCGTACTGCCAGAAACAGCCAAGCAGCCTGGCAGACCCGATTCTGCTGCTGGCGCGGGAAGAAGCCGCACTCGAAACCCCAAGGCTTCTGTGGCACACACTCCTGGGCGTCTGGCGATCGCTGCGAGAGATGCAGGGGTGAGAAAGGGGATGACTCCGAACCATCCAACTTGCGGTTTCCTTAGCCATCCCCAAACAGGGTTCATTCCCAACACCCGGAACTGTCATCCCCTGCCAGAGTGGCACCAGCAAGTTGATTCCATGTCCAGAATTTCAACCATCGTCCGTTTCAAAAACAGACACCTTTGTGGGAAAAAAAACTTTCCTTTTCTCACCTGTCCAAATAAACAAGGGCCAAATCGGGGAACCAACAACTGCTTCCAGGTCGAATCGCTTTTGCGCAACCGAACTGCGCGAATTTGGATAGCCAAAACCAGTTAAGCTGCGTCAGAATCAAAGCCCGGCTCACAGGAGTCGACCCAAAGCCAATGGCCAAAGTCCCCGACGAATGTGTCTGCAGCCTCCAACAATCATGGAACTGCAAAGAAGGGCGCTGGAAGACTACCATCATCTTTTAACAGGGCTGTGGGAAATGGAATCCACCTCTGTGATACAACAAGAGCCTCCCAAAGCCTCACATACATATATATATATATAATACATATAGTGCGAACCCTTGTATCACAGAAGTGGGGATAAACCCCAAGTGATCCCGCAATCCTGTCTTTCAGAGAAGCCATGTTTCCCCCAATGACTCTGAGAAGGGGAGGGAGAGGTGAGATCCATTCCTCCCCTAGGGCGCCAAGGGTTGGGACTCGGGACCATGCAGCCCAGCCGCTTCTTTTTCCGGAAGCCCCTGGTCCACTTTTCGTGATTGGGCAAACACACGAATGGCCCACGGAAAAAGAATAAGCCCCCCGAGAACTTGTGCTTTCCCTTTGTTCAAAACAGTCCCAAATGCGTCTGCCACATAGGGACAGCCCACCAGTGATTCCAAACAAGACACTTCCTCTCAATCGATGATTCTTGGAAAGCTGACTTGTGTGGATTGCCGGAACAAAGCAACCATTCGGTGTCTCTGCCGCTAAACTGATCCCTTCGAGTGATTGGCCAAAGTCCGAACTGTTGCCAACGGTCTTATCAAAAAGCACATTTCGAGTCCAGGAACTCAGGGGAGAGACAACGTCCGCCCTGTAAAACCTATGGTCCTACTCACTTCCTGAGTGGCTTGGCCAAACTCGGAACTTTTAATTTACCGCCAACATTGGTCTTCCCAAAAAGCTCCAAGTCCGAAACGGAGCTCATGAAGTGAGCCAAGCCCTGTACACCTACGGCTCTTGAAAAGGCAGCGCAAACTTTTTGCGTCGAGTCCTTGGAGCTCCAGTGTAAGAAGTGGCCCTGCTGGCACACGCAGTCCCCGCGCTTCTGAAAGCTGGGACCCGCTGTGGTCCTCGGGATTTTCCAAATGGGACATGGCCCAAAGGGAGGGTTCAATCAACGTGGTACATGGACTCCTTTTGTTTGGTAAATCTCCATTTGCTTAAGCCCCTTGGACAAAAAAGCATCATTTTTCCATGGATTCCCTTTAAAACTGGAAGCAAAGGGAAACCAGCAAAGGGAAACCAGCAAAGGGAAACCTAATGCAAACCGCATATTATAGCGGACCGCTATTTTGAGAAACAGGGGGGGCCGATTTTTGGGAAGATTCTGAAGCGATGCTTTCAATTTCAACATTCATGAAAATACTCCTGCCACTGACCAAAGCAGGTTTATCACTTTGGGGGGACAGTGGCGTTCCCCGGCGGCATTCCCGTGGCCCGTAGTTCTGCAGGCTAAGGCCATTTATGGGTCCCGGAGCTTCCAAGCAGGACGCGGAGACTACATCAGTGTCCAACCAAAACTACAGCGTCCTGAAGTGACGCTCTATCAACACGGGCAATCACTAAAACATCCCTGCAAGCTTAGATGTTTTCCAGTCCCAATCAGACACCGTGACGCCCTCACTGACTGGCTTCAAAACAAGGCTGTGTCAGAGCTCCGTGCTTCGTTCCTGGAAATCATGCTGCTTGCAAGCAACCTTCAAGAAGACTAATCCACAACCGAACTTGCATCATGAGGCGGCCGTGCACACAATCATGCTGAAACCACCCAAAGACACCTCCGATTGGACCCCCCAAAAAGGCGAGGTAAGGAATGCATGAGGCCAGCGAGATGCAACACAAGGGCTTGCACAAATAGATGTATATAGATAGATATATAGATAGATATATGGATATATTAGAAGGAACCTTCTTGTGGCTGGTGTCCTTTGGGATGTTGAAAGCCCAACCAAATGGGTGCCCCCCGAATGTGTTGGGCACCAGTGTGTGCTGTTCCCAACTCTTTCCAGGGCTCCCAGAAGAGA